TTTCTTTCTTTCTTTCTTTCTTTCTTTCTTTCTTTCTTTCTTTCTTTCTTTCTTTCTTTTTCCTTCCTTCCTTCCTTCGTTCCTTCGTTCCTTCGTTCCTTCCTTCCTTCCTTCCTTCCTTCCTTCCTTCCTTTTGAAAAAAGTACCTTGTTAGGGCTGAACACTAAACTAGTTTTCCACATGTGTTGACTTTGAACTCCCAGAATCCCCAATATACTGTAATTAGGTGGTCTAGGAATTTTGGAGCACTGATATCCATGTGAAGGATATCCAGAATAGATAAAATACACTCTCTGGGTGTTTTGGCACTATTACTCCTGAAATTCCCAAGGTCCTTTGTCTCTTGATTAATTGAAGCTATTACAAAACCAGAAAAACCCTGTAGCATTTTTTTTTCAAACATGGGGAATTATCTGCTTTTTTATTACAGGTAGTCCTCAACTTACGACTACAACGGAGCCCAAAATTTATGTGGTTAAATGAGACATTTGTAAAGTGAATTTTGCCCCATTGTATGACCTTTATTGCCACACTTATTAAGTGAATCACTGCAGTTGATAAGTTAGTAACCCAGTTGTTAAGTGAATCTGGTTTCTCCACTGACTTTGCTTGCCAAGCATCTGAATTTTGATCAGATGATTGTGAGGATGCTGCAAAGTTCATAATGGTGAAAAAAAAAAAGTCATAAGTCATTTTTGTCAGCGCCATTGTAACTTTGAATGGTCACTAACTGAAGTGTTGTAAGTTGAGGACTACCTGTAGTTGATTCAGAGAGGAGATATTTACTGATTTGTGGCAAGCCTTTGGCAAGCCATATTTCCATGTTCTAATTTTGCCGTGAAAAGTAATGATTAATAGGCTCTGAGCTTCATTTTCCTTCTTTGCTATGAAAATATTCCTTAGTAACATTGAGTTTGTGTCTTCTTATCAATTCTTCAAGATTGATTGAGTGCCGAGGGCATTTTGTATCTTCCTACTTCAAAAGCAGACTTTTTCAAAGTGGTAGCTAACTAATACCTATTGCTTTGGATACACAGAGTTTCTCCCTGTTTCAGTCACCCACTGGAGACAGTTTGGAGGGTATAGAATGGCTGGCTTTGGATTACATCCCCTCTCCTGCTGTGGTATATTTGGAGCCAGCAGAAAGTTGGCATGGCAGACTGTTCTACAGTCACTTGATTTTAAATGTCAGCATTTCAAAAATAAAATGTGCAATCCTTCCTAGGGAAGATCAAGGCATAGGAGTAATTTGTAAGACAGAGCAGCAAGAAACTACAATCGCTCCAGAATGAAGAAGAAAGGAGATATAGCAGAGGAGTTTTAAGAGTGAGACTCTAATCTAAGAATACAAATGTATTCCACAGAGACCCCTTTCAGAGGTGGGTATTCAGCAGGTTCTGACCAGTTCTGGAGAACCGGTAGTGGACATTTTGAGTAGTTTGAAGAACTGGCAAATACCACCTCTGACTGGAGATTTTACAATATCCTTCCCCTGCCACACCCACCAAGCCACGCCCACAAAACTGGGAGTAAAAATATTTGAATCCCACCACTGCCCCATTTGATACATTGATCTTGCATGTCGTTGGTCTTTATTAAGAAGTCATTAGAAAACTCAGACTGTTAACAACAATTAGTATTTGTATTTTGGATCCAAAGCATTCCTTATGTGTTCATTTGGTGCAATAAAATTGAATTGTGACTGGGACAAAACTGGAATCTGTGCTAATTCTTAGAAAACAGTGTATCATTGGAAATGATTGGAAATGTATCCTTTTGCAAAGGAAATGTGGGCCAAAAAAAAAAGTAAGGGGCAGATTTTCAGATACATCTGTAGCATTTCTTGAAACTATTGTCAGAATATTCCTCATCTTCATGGTTGGGTTGGTTTTTTTTTTTTTTTTGAGAACATCAAAGTTTCCAGATTGCAATAGCATGATGTTGCCTTCTATAAGTTTTTATAAAAGCAAGTTTTAAGAAAACTCCTTTTATTTATTTATAAATTTTATAGGCCATCCATCTTACCTCTTTTCCCCCTTGGGTCGGATTTTATCTATTCTATACTGTAATGTCTTTATCTGGAGTAGTTGTATCCAGAAATAGCTACATATTTGTAACTGAGGCGCCCAGATAGAAATGGAGAGATCCAACAAATTGAGTAAGCCTCCCTTCTCCTAACTACCTTTCCACTCTAGCTGGGAAGTGTTGGATTTGCCTGTCTCACCTGAGGCCTACTTCAGGCAGAATCTACTTTCCTAAATTGATTTGGAGTGGGGGGAGGATTGTAGCCCCATACATCCTCTTGTCCCGAGATTTCTGCAGCTGTTTTTTTTTTAACTTAAAAATCTCTTTCATGAAGCTCTTCCTTCCTCCTCTATTAGTCACCCTGATAGAAGACAATTTTTGTAAATAACCATCTAAAAGAATAGAAGCCCATGAATGAACTACCGGCCTACCTTTAAGTGGTTTCTGAAGAAGGAGTTGCAGGCTAGAAAACTCCAGAAGAATATCAGGCTATTCTATGAGACTATTTGTAAGCTGCAGGCTTCACGCTGGTGTCTTTACCTTGTTCTGGCTGTGATTCATATCACAAATTGGAAACTATTTGACCTAAGTTAATGTATATTCATAAGTAACCGTGGTAGAGAATTTTTGCCCACCAAGAATAGAATAGAATAACAGAGTTTCAAGGGACCTTGAAGGTCTTTTAATCCAACCCCCAAGGAGAACAGCATTGTTCCAGCTTTCTGCTCCTTAACCTTATTTACTCTTGCGTAATTTGTTGTACATTTTCAGGACATCCAGATCTGAACTACATGCTCAAACCATCATTGCTCCGTTACTGTGGTGATTTTGCTTACTCCCTCCTTTTCCATGAGTTTAGTCAGTCCCAGCAGACAATCTCAGACAATCTTCTTGGAAAATAAAGCATTTGGATTGCACAGTTTTTGTACTGGGTGTGTTTTTTTTGGTACCTTTTCAAATGATGAAATAAAAGTATTCAGTTCCATCATAACTCCTGTCATTTTAAATATAAAACAATGTAATATATAAAATAATACAAAAGCCAAAAATAATAAAAGGTACATGGATGGAGATATAATGCAAATTCTATCCGACCGATCATCCCAGAAGGAGTCTATAATTCACTTTAATCCAAAACCTGAATGAAGAGTCAGATTTTAAGGTTTGTTTAAATAAGGTTGGGATGGGGGCCATATGAAGCTGCCTGGGAACATTTTCTAAAGCAGTGCTGCAACAGACAATGCTACTTCTGAGTCCCATCAGATGACACAGTTCCTCAACTTACAACCACAATTGAGCCCAAAATTTATATTGCTAAATGAGACATTTGTTTAGTGAGTATTGCCTCATTTTATGACTTTTCTTGCTACAGTTGTTTAGTGAATCATTGTAGTTGTTAAGTTAGTAACCCCATTGTTAAGCGAATCTGACTTCTTCATTAACTTTGCTTATCAGAAGGTTGCAAAAGTTGACCCTGGGACACTGCATTCATCATAAATATGAATCGGTTGCCAAGCACCTGAATTTTGATCACATGACCATGGGAATGCTGCAATGGTCATAAAGTGAACAACTATCATAAGTCATTTTTTCAGTGCCATTGTAACTTTGAATGGTCACTAACTGAAGTGTTTGTAAATTGAGGACCACCTGTACTTTGATGAGATCAAAGCCTGCAAATTCTGTCAAGTTGTATAGGACAGCTTAAAGCTACATAGCATAGATGTCCCTCAGATAACAAGGCACTATGCCTTAGATGATAACTAGCATCTTGAATTGTTCTGGAAACCTGCTGGTAACCAATGCATGTGTATGGATGCAGATAACACATTAAATGATTTTTTTCTGTGAAGGCTTTCCTGCCCACAGCTGCCATTTGCTCCTTTGAGCAGGAATGGTAAGAACATCCCTAAATTATGCACCAGTGCCAGAGAAGGAAGTGTAGTCCTGTTCAGTACTACAGATGGAAAACTTCTCCAAATACTCACACCAACGTGATTTTATTAGAGTTTGCACTACCCCCATGCCAATTCTGCCAGAAATTCTAAAAATCAATGTTTTCCACAAATTGGTTCATTTTTCTATGGGCTTCTTTTGTTATTTAATAGGAGATAAAGATCCTGTTGAAATGAAAGCATACCTTTAAAAAAAATATCAATGCCTTCAGGAATCTTTTGTTTCCATAGCTCAATTTTGGAAGAGGTACGTACGAGGAAGCCTTGCAGATCCCAGAGTGATAACATATTGATGTTTATTTCTTTGCATCCTGCCTTTATTATTTTTTACAAGTAGCTCAAGGCAGCAAACACATCCAGCATACCTTCCTCTTATTTTCCCCACAACACCTCTGTGAGGCAGGTTACACTGAGAGGGAGAGTGACTGGATCAAAGTTTATGCAATAACATACTCCACATGTGATTTGCAGGTATAAATGCCACCTCTGTTCCTTTCCCCCCCTTTCTGAATAGGTATGAATGCTGCTGTGCGGGCTGTGGTTCGAGTTGGGATATACACTGGTGCCAAAGTATATTTTGTTCATGAGGTGAGTAGATGGGATGGTTCCCTCACTTGATGATGTCTTTGTTAATTTTGTTAAGCACTGCAATTCTAGCAAAGAAGGGGAGTTGCTTGCTGGCTTTGAGATCTGGCATTTAGCACTTGTGCTAGGCCAAACCTGCATAAAGGATTATGGCATCAATATCCCTCACCCCTGAATTAATCCTAATCTACTCAAACAATAGAGGATAGCAATGCAGCCCCATTTTAATCAGTCAAGAGGGATAGGAATACCACTTTCAAATACTGCCTGATGTGCCAAACCACTTCTCCCATTTTTTTTTCTTATTTACAGAAATTTTGTTTAAGTGAAGAAAGGCACAAAAGAACTCTGTTTTCTCTCAACATTTGTCAAATATGGCTAATCTGTGTGTATGCCCAGAGTATGTCTGCACAAATACACACTCATCCATAGACAAGGGAAAGGGTTGTAACCTATCTCTTCTGTTCTAAAAGATATATAATTTTCTGTGCCTGCATGGAAGTCTTATATATGATCTTCATTTTTATAATGGCACTCTACCTTTCTTCTTCCTCATATGGGATAGGCCAAGCCATCTACTTCTAAATTCAAACTATCAAAAATACACTCTTCTGCTCCCTTCTGTTTGAACATTGCTAATTGCACTATTTCAGCATTTTGACATGGGAATGGTCCAAATGAGAATTTAATTGTAATCTTTGTATTTTCATGGGGAGAGCATTCAAACAATGTAAAATTCCGTCTTTTATTTTCTGGTCCTTATTCTCTCTCTCTCTCTCTCTTTTTTTTGCTGGGAAAAATTCAAGGAAACATGGGAGAATGTCACTATATTTTGCTCTGTGACCTTAGAAAGTCTTGGGCTCAAAAAAGGGAACACTGCCTTTTTTTACACTTTACTTTTTGTTTTCAGAACTGAGGGGCACAGGAATGTAGCTTGGTGGGGCCATATCACCAGAGAGAATGGGGCATAGATGGAGAGCTTGGCAGATAATGAAATGCGCATGACGCATATCGTGTAAATTCTTCAGTTTGCGTAACTGCATTGGGGCGCATAGTTGCAGCATTATCATGGTGACATTCCTGTGTGCATGTGATTTTTGCTTCACTGTGTTTGCTGTGGACACCCGCTGGAGCATGGTTGGAATATTTTGGAATGATAAGGAGAAGTTATTTACATCTTATGCTTTATGCCCAAACTAAAAAAAAAAAAATTCAATTGCCTTTATGTAATAGATTGCAGTGAATTTTGATAATGCAGTCCTGGGGGATTTTCTAGGCCATGGTTATGGGGCTAAAGATGACTGATTTGGAAAACTCCCCTCTCTGGTGTCTTTTAGGGACACGGTTGAATTTGTGCCTTTCTTGTCTTCGGCTTAGCACTGAGCATATTTGGAGATCATGTCAAATTGCCATGTCCGTATTGCTGACATGATGCTTTTGCTTATGTTGTCCTAATTCCTGTATTAATGGTTTCTGGAAAACGGAATAGAAAGAGACAGCATGAATAGCGTACTGTAGTGTTGGTTATGCCAAACTCGCTACAATCATGCCAAGAACTCAGATTCAGAATGCCTCTTGTTCTGTTGCTTCCTGTTCAATGTTTTCAGTTACTAAAGAATCTGGAAGTATTCCAGGAATTCCACATCTTGGCCAAATCTGGCCTACCTTGTACTGTATTTAAAAGACATGTTCTCTTGAGCATTCCCTTTTATGCAATTAAGTTATGTGCATCTCTCAATCCTTTGAGGCAGGCAAGATCAAGAAAAAGGCTTGGGTGGGATATCAGAAACATTCTTTATTCTGTGAAGATATAATAACAAAATCTTTATGTTTCTCTCCTTCCATCTTCTGCTAAACAGCATCAAGACAGATTTATTTTCAGTTTCTTTCTCATGCTTTCTTCTGAGCAATCTCTTTAATAGGGTCCTCCTTAATGGCTCCCTCATTCTTTCCCTATTCCCAAGGTTGGCTGTCCCTTCCTTTACAATATCTCACCTTATCTAGCTCACTTTCCATAATCTATTCTGACTTTTGTTCCAGGGTTACCAAGGGCTTGTGGATGGTGGAGATAACATTAAAGAAGCAACATGGGAAAGTGTATCTATGATGCTGCAGCTGGTGAGTCACTTTGCCTTGATTTTCATTCTTCCAGACTCATGTTTGAAGTGGCAAAGAGCTGTCATCTCTACCAGAAGTGACGCTCCAGCTAAGATTTCAGAAAGGTCTTTTGAAGCTCAAGTGGAATGAAAATATAAAATAGTTTTGATGTCTTCATGATATTTAGAACTATAACTTCCAAAATACCCATTGGCTATATTCACTGGGATATTGGGGAGTTGTAGTCCCAGGAGATCCAAGGGCATAGTTTCTGACAGCACTAGTGTATAAAGTATACAGGTAGTCCTTGACTTATGACCACAATTGAGTTCAAAATTTCTGTTGCTAAGTGAGACATATATTAAGTGTATTTTGCCCCGTTTAATGACTTTTCTTGTCACAGTTGATAGGTAAATTGTTGCAGTTGTTAAATTAGTGACTAGGTTGTTAGGTGAATTTGGCTTCTCCATTTACTTTGCTTGTTAGAAGGTCGCAAATGGTGATCACATGACCCCAGGACACTGCAACCGTCATAAATACGAACCAGTTGCCAAGCATCTGAATTTTGATCCCATGACCACAGGGATGTTGCAATGGTTGTAAGTGTGAAAAATGGTCATAAGTCACTTTTTTTCAGTGCCATTGTAACTTTGAACTGTCATTAAATTAACTATTGTAAATTTTAGGACTACCTGTATTTCTATTCCATTATGTTTCCTAATTTTATTTTTAATCTGCCCTTGCAATTTCTCCTTCTCCTTCTTAGTGTTTGTGCTATTTTAGTGAGTTATCAGCATCTGGAGGAACAAGGAATGGCAAGAGACACCAATGCTAATGGACTTACCTACTTCTTGTATGGTACAGTCTATTCCCAAGTGAATTTGAGACCCAGATTTCAGTGGGTTGTGTTTTGAAGCTAAATGTTTATTACAATGCCTATCAAAAAAGCTGCAAGAAATGTTATGGGAAAGGTAGCACCTCTTTAATGGGAATTAAAGTTTCTGAGATGGCATTCCTAGACTTGGAGGTAAAATTAGATGAGCAGAATATTGCACATGAAATTGTGTTCATAAATAGCAATAGCATTTATATACCACTTCACAGTGCTTTACAGTCCTCTCTAAGCAGTTTACAGAGTCAGCCTATTGCCCTCAACAATTTGGGTCCTCGTTTTACCCACCTCGGAAGGATGGAAGGCTGAGGTAACCTTAAGCCTGGTGAGATTCAAACTGCCAAATTGCAGGCAGCCAGTAGAAGTAGCCTGAAGTTCTGCATTCTAACCACTGCACCACCGTGGCTCATAAATTCTCCATTCTGCCCCAAAGGTGCTTTTTCAGGAGGTAACTGGAGTTTGTTGTTTTTTCTTTTGAAGACGTTTCGCTTCTCATCCAAGAAGCTTCTTGAGCTCTGACAGGCTAGTGAGGAATGGAATCCTGTCAGAGCTGAAGAAGTTTCTTGGATGAGAAGCGAAACGTCTTCAAAAGAAAAGAAAAAAATCCAATTGCCTCCTGAAATAGCATCTTTGGGACAACCATGACCTGGATAACTGAGAATCTCTACAGACTCTCCATTCTTACAATAATACGGAAGTACCATAAGGCATTCAAATGTATTGAAAGACCAACTTCCTCTAGGCGTAGAGGGAGACATTGGGCCTATTGGACTAAACCTCAATAAGAAAGCCAGATGGTGAACTTTTAAGTAAATGCAGCAGTCCAGATTTTCCTGAGAGTGTTCTTTATATGTATTGCTTCATCTCTGATAATCCCAACCAGTCTGACCATAAGCTTGGAAGCTCTGGAGATTTTAGTATATAGCTAAATAATTCAATTGTCAGGATAAACTATTGCAAAGTAGTTAAACTAGGAAAGAAAAGATCTTCCATTAATTATAAAAGGAGTCACAGAGACCATAAACTATTCAGATATTCAAAGCATAGATAAGCTCCCAGGTCCTATATATTTTGCAGTTGTGTATCTGCCAAAAACCAATATTTCAAGTCCCTTACCAGTTTTGAATCTCTAATTTATTAGCAAGATTTGAATAGGTATGACTACCTTATGGTGGGGGCCTATGTTTGTCAAATTACCTAGTGGCTTAAACTGTTTTATTAGGATTCTTAGCTGCTATAATTCCTTATAATTATTTCAACATAGACTGGAAAATCCAGCTCCTAAGGGATATACTGCAATATAAGTTTTTCAAGCCAGTTGTTGCTAACAATGAGGCTTGAAAGAACTGAAGCCGGAATTAAAAAACATGCTCTATATGTATAGTGGGTAAGGAAGCCTCTGCCAGACTCCATGTTGAGGATTAGTAGAAAGCTGATCACCTAGGCAAATACCTGTTTGACCTTACGTGATTAAATCCCTGTAGAGCTTTCTCCCAGTTTGTTTTAACATTCTACCCATTACAGTAATAAAGAGAAAAGACAGTAATATCCAATATAATTGGAGCAATCATACCTGTGTGATTTTTTTAAGAAAGCATTTCTGCATTATCTTCTTGATAAATTTATGAACTTTAAGTCTTATCATTCTATTCACATTCAATAAACTTAATTGAACAGAAGATAATTAGAACTATTTCTTCTAAAGGGATCTTGAGATCATTAGAACATAGTGACCTTTGCTTTCGGTTGGGATCGCTGGCAAGGTCGAGCGTCTTAAATGTAATGATACCATCTCAGCTGGGGTCACAATGAATGTCTTGAGGCCTAAAATAACTTGAAATTGGAGATAACCTTTGCCTGCAGCCATACTTGAATTGGTGGGGAGGAAAGGCTGTTTGGATCTAATAAACAAGAATCACAGAGGATTCTGTTCCAGTTAAATCTCTCAGTTGCTATCCAGTCCCTGTACTGTGGCTGGAGATGCAGAGGAAAATTTGTCCACAGATCATTGAGCCAATGATATTTACAAGCATTCTTATGCATTCTTTAATATCGCTGTACCATGAAGATTTCAAAAGATGCCTTTATCAGGTCAATGTAATGGATTTGCAAATAAGAGAAGTGTAACATTTTATACAGATTGAAGATAAGCCTTATTTTTTTCATTTTCCTAAAGTATGAATTACAAATTAAGGTAATGTTATTATGACTTCTGTAAGATATTGCTTTGTTGACACTTAACACCAAGCCATCATTATCATCTTCATTATCATCACTATTATCATCATATTACTATTGTGGGGTCCTTGATGCTCTCTGAGCTTGTTCCTTGCAGACATTTCATTACCCAACTAAACTAACAAGGAAGGGAGTGAGGTTTGTTCTCTATTTATATGCAAATAGCTTGCACTATCAGTGCCCCCTTCTAGCAATAATGATATTACCTATTGGATAGTAAACATCTCCAAAAAACCCCAAAACCCTCAGCTCAGAGAGCACCAAGGTCTCCACAGTTCAACCCTGAGCTACAGATTCTTTCTTCTATTGGTATTATTATTGTTTTTTATTGTATTATATCATTGTATTGCAGAAATTGCAAGGTGTTGGCTTGGTTTATACTTAACAGCAAGACATATTATCATTATTATTTCTGCTTTAGTGAGGTATTGGGGATTAGCAATATATTTGTATCAGACCATTATTAATTCTTTAATGAACTATGGTTGGAAGAACAAACCTGGATATGTGTGAATTATACCCCCCCCAAAATCTCCCTATTCTTGGAGAACCCTGGGATTGTATTTTTGGTAGGATGAGATAGGACTTTTACCAAGAGAAAACTGAATGATATTGTAAAGAGTAAGGAAAACGGCTTTACCTGAGATATCAGGAACCGTTGCCTAGGCACCAGGAGCTGAAATGGTTTTAAGCCAAAATAATAAAATATAATTTGAAAGTGTTTTAGGAAGATCTCTTCTTAATTCATTGAACAATAAGAAGGGGGAAGAGGTACAGCGCAATCAGACTTGCAAGATTCCACTATTATAACCCTGCTCAATAAAAATAGTTTTAGTCTTCCTACGTTAGCCAAGGTAGTAGAACTGGCAGATATACCTTACCTTTCCTAGCACAACGGAGATGACAAATGAGTTCCTTGTATTGAGTTTCTGTTTGCTTTCTGGAGAGACATCCAATAATGTTCATATGTCTCTGAACCAAAGATCCCAAGAAAATAAATTAAAAAATATATATAATATTTTCTGGTGAATATGAGGGACTTGGCAAAGAGATCATAGCAGCAACTACATTATCTCCCAATTCACCCTCCTTTGTCAGGGTTCCAGAAAAACCCAACTCCAATTAAAAACTCAGAGACAGGCATTTTCTCAAAGTTTCCTTTTATTAGAGTAGGTATACTGGCACACCTGGGAAAACCCGTATCTGAGAGTTCCGGGTTTTCCCTTAATAATTCAAAAGTCAAAACCCAACCCCTGCACCCATCACTCCATCACACGGTCCAATCACCAACCATCCCAACTTGAGACATCCTTTCACCACTCCTCCTCCAGGGGCCGGAATTACACGACCTTGACCAAAAAGAAGAATGATATTATGTCTAACTACCAACACTCTAAAATTCCCCCCCTCCTACTTCCCAGGCACAGGAATGTGGCAGCATGGAAACTTCTGGTTCTAATATGGCTTCCAAAGCTGACATCCTTTTTGTCTCCTTTCAGGGGGGCACAGTAATTGGAAGTGCTAGGTGTATGGACTTCCGCAAGCGGGAAGGACGCCTGAAAGCTGCTTGTAACTTGGTAAAGAGAGGAATAACCAACCTATGTGTGATTGGTGGTGATGGAAGTTTGACTGGAGCAGACACTTTCCGAGCAGAATGGAGCAATTTGCTACAGGAGCTGGTTAAGACAGGTACCACAGTTATGCAAAGGCAAGTTAAGAACTGCGGTCAAAAGTAAATACAGACCACCAGATTCTAAAATGTGACTTCCCTGCTGCAATTGGACCTTTTTTTTCCTCTTGCTTGATCCACTTCATTGAAGATTTGAACATCATTGCCTTTACCTCGTTGATTCGTGATGATGATTCCACTCTCTTTAAATCGTGATGAATATTCCACTCTCTGACAGGAAGATAAAAGTTTTACTGACCCAATCTGATGTGGTGGGTCAAGAGATAGGCAGTGGCTAGAACCACTAAGGCAGATTAGGAATATTCCCCAAGTTTCCCCGCCTTGATTGTGAATATTAAAACTTAGGTGCAGATTCAAAATGCAAAATGCAAGAGTTGACATAGCAGTCTCTTAAGTATAATTTAAACCAAGTATTTCTTTTCCCTGGAGTTACTCTGTGAGCCCCAGGAAAAAATGCAGTTGCCTTACAATGTTTCTGACACATTTTGCAGTCACCCCTATTTACAGGCATCTACAAATTCACATTTCTGGACATTTCTACATCTCTGAGGGATTCCTACTAGAGCCACAGTTAGTGTGCTGTGTTATGTTTCAAAACTATGTGCTTTACTGCAATTCTGAGAAAGCCAAGCATGTCTTTCCATATCTTTATATCTGTGCATGTTCCTCTGTAATTCAGTTCCTGAGCCAAATTTTTCTCCTTTGTGGCAAGGCTTAATGTAAAAGAACCAGGGTAAAATGCTGCTTTTCTAAGACCTGGCCTACAGAGGATTTTCATTCCCCCCTTCAAATGAAGAATGAATTGCAACAGTGATATTATTATCATATCTGCTGATATTAATTAGTTCACCATTCTCTTTAAGGGAGCATCACCGTAGATGAAGCCAAGAAGTCCAGCTTCCTGAACATAGTTGGCATGGTTGGTTCCATTGACAATGATTTTTGTGGGACCGACATGACCATCGGTACAGATTCTGCTCTCCACAGGATAATGGAGATAGTGGATGCTATCACCACCACTGCCCAAAGGTAAAACCCATAGATACTGTATTCCGCCATTTTGTAATATTCCTCGAGAAACTTGGCAATATGATATTTGGGCAGTATGAAAAGTGGGGGGGAAATCAGAATAAATCAACTATGAGAAACAAAAACCTTTTTCTCTTTGCTATGCAAGAGAAAAATAAACAAGGCCAGAAAGAAAGAAAAAACAGGCAGAAAGTAATATTAATATCTAACTGTCTTATTATTGGCTGAAGATGCACATGCCTACTTGATTGACAAATAGGTTATTACAGAATAGCAAGCAGTCATAAAAAAAGCAAATAAAACTTTCAAAATAAACAGCACATGGAATCAAGAATCAGTCAAAAGGTGCAAATCACAGAAGTAGAATTTTTCTTTTTTTTAATTTTCTGCAGAAACTCTTAGTTCTATTCCTGCTTTAAGCATTATGAATATATGAATACTGTAAATAAATGTGTTTTATGGACACTGTTAGTGTTTTTATTTTCATTTTGTCTTACAGCCATCAGAGGACATTTGTGCTGGAAGTGATGGGACGTCACTGTGGGTAGGAAGTTGTTTTGTTACACTGAGATTGGTTTAATGTGGAAAAGATTGCCCTAAAACTATGAAATCATGATTACTAGTATATGAATAATGGTTGTAAGTGTGGTCCAGTCTTCTTGCTCCTACCTCCCTGGGTTCTACCGATAGTATAAATTTCTCCAGCTTGGCATGAGAAGATAATTTCAATATCTTCCTTCAGTTTTAGATTAGATTAGTCCCCAAAGTGTAAATGTGGTTAAGCTTGACTATAGTTATTAGAATCATAATTTTGTAAATTATGATTTTAAGGTCAAGTTGCTTCCACTAATTATACTTAGGGTTAGTCACAATTTTTCTGGATTCAAGCAAACATGAGAATGTCACTTTATCAAAAATAGGATTGAAAGTTTGTTGCTTGTGAAGAACATTGAAAGAGGAATAAGTCAGCCCAACATTTGGGTATTGAAAGCAGAAAGTTGTCAGTTTTCTTTAGAGAAGATAAGAAGTACGATATTTTTTTTTGCCAAGTCTTGCTTTAGTGTGCAGTTCAAGAGTGGATAACCTGTTGTTTTCCAGATAGTATTAAATAAACCTGAGCATCCCTCAACATTGTTCTTTTTAACAACAGCTGCTAAGAACAGCACCCCAGCAATCTCTGGGAGACCACAGCTTTGAATCCAGATGGTTTTTGAGATAGCACCTTCCTATCTTGGAGTTTAAGTTGCTAGTTAAAGTCTTGCACAATGGTGGTAACTGCTCACATTCCATTTTTTTACACTCCTCTTCTAGTTATCTAGCCCTTATTACAGCGTTGGCAAGTGGTGCAGACTGGGTTTTCATTCCAGAATCTCCACCAGAAGATGGCTGGGAGGATCACTTGTGCAGAAGGCTAACCGAGGTAATCAAAATAAGAAGCATCCAAATTTGAAAACTGGTGATTTATCTCCAAAGCTTCCTCAGAAATAGCAGTGGAAGTTCTTTCTTAATAAGTACAACATACCTCAGAGATATTGCAGATTCGGTTTCAGACCACTGCAATGAAGCAAATATCGCAACAAAGCAAGTCAAACAAATTTTTGGGTTTCCCAAAATTATACAGCATGTACACTGGGTCTCACAATCAAAACCTCATCTTAAAGTTAACCTCATTACATTTTCAAAACTCTAGCAAAATGATAAAAATAATAAGACAGAAACAAATTTCTCACAAAATTTCATTTGACCTTTAAGTATGAGTCTTCTAAACAGATTCTCTTCAAAGTAGGTCATTATGACTTTTTTCAAGACGTTATTATTAAAAACAACAAAAATGCTGGTTTAATGCTGTGTGTAAAAGCAACTCGTCCCTTTACTAGTCAGGTGGGCATAATGATCAGTTCTATCAAAGTCACTGGGGCATTGAAGGGAATTCCAAAGATAGCTCTTCCCTGTCTTTCTCTCAACAAGGTCTTCTGCAAACTGATAGATCCCATGTCTCCAAACCCAAGGCTCAATCCCATTTTAAAATCGATCCATTTCCCTTCCTTTTCTTGCAGACAAGAACTCGAGGTTCAAGGCTGAACATCATTATTGTGGCTGAAGGAGCAATCGATAGACATGGCAAACCCATCACTTCTGAAGAGATTAAGACTGTGAGTGACTCAGGGCTGTTTGTGATTGACTCATCCCTTGCCTAACACTGCAGAGGGAACCAAAATGTGGGAAGTCAGCTGTGTGAAATCTTATGCTTCAGTGCAATTAAAAGATCCTGTTCAGACCAAAAGGGAAATTAAGAAGTGAAATTTTTACTAGTTTCTGCTCTTATAAGATGTGTTTAGAGGGTATAAGATCTAGTATTTTGAATGCTTCCTCCTCAATTCAAAAATTCTTAGCAAACTAGGAAAGGTTTTGTTCTTGTTTTTCTCTCCATTTCCTTCATGCTTCCCAGCTCGGGAATTAAATATAGTTGACTAAGTCATTGGGATTTCCAAATGTTAAGGGCCTGTAGGCATATTTCATGGAAGCTGCTACAAAATGGCCCCGATAGAAGTTCTAGTCACTGAAGACAACTGAATTATTCCTCCCCCGCCCCCAATAAATAGGGCCTAAAATAATTTTTTCAGAAGAAGAAGAAAAAGAATGATGTTTAAGAAGTAGACACACACATCTTCCAGGTAGCTTCCCACCTTGGCACAGCTGTGCATGTCCACAAGCAAATCGGCCAGGATCCCTTTATTCTTCTTCCCCTCAATGCAGGTGCTCCCCATAGCCCCTTGGACATATACAACTGCAAGCTGCCTGTCCAAAAGACTTTAAAATCTTGAGAGCTAGAAACTTTATTTGAGGGGAAGAGTGTTGAGATTTGCATGATTCCGGAGGCTGCATTCCACTTTTGATGCATTAATTGTGGAATTTTGTCAAACACTCCCAATGTTGTATTTCTCTTCCTTCTCCAGCTGGTTGTGAAAAACCTGGGTTTTGATACAAGAGTCACCATCCTAGGACATGTGCAGCGTGGTGGGACTCCCTCTGCCTTTGATCGTGTTCTGGTAAAAATAATAATAATCTTCTGTTCTAGATTTATTTTCCCGATGCTGTATTTGTTAAGTGTTGGAACACAAAGCAGGCATTTAAGCTTCTTAGTCCTTTTGACTTTTGCACTCATAGACTGCTAAAGTTCTGGCATCAGGAGATGAGCAAATTAGCATTTTCAAAAATAGAAAAGATTCTTGCAGTACCTCATTCAGTCATTCAGACTGTAAAACTGTGGAGGTAAAAAAGAGAATGGATTTGTGATTTTTCTAGGACAGTGACGTCAAATCCTTTTGGATTCAGCCTGTCAAAAATTCAGAAAAAGCCTAGCTTGACTCTTGTCACCACCACCCCTGAAGAAAAAGGAAACAATTTTCTAGCTCCCCACCCCCAACAATCTGCCCATCTAGACGAGGGGTCTGCAACCTGCGGCTCTGGAGCCACATGCGGCTCTTTTGGCCCTCTGCTGCGGCTCCCTGTCGGCTGATCCCAGTACTGGTTGGCCCCTCCCTTCCCCCTCACTCCTCACCTGGCCTGAGAAGGTAAGGGTGATGGTGGGGGATGGAGACTCGCTCCATATTCCAGAGCAGGAGGTGATTGGGTGGGAGTGAGTGACGTCGAGTCGGTCACACCCACCCAGTCACACCATTTGTTAAATTATTAGGTCCTGGTATTTTCTTTTCTGTGGGAAATGGGTCCAAATATCTCTTTTGAGTGTTTAAGGTTGCAGACCCCTGATCTAGACCATTCTGAATAACAGCACTCAGCAGCAATGCCAAAGTTGGGCCTGAGGTTCAGGCCCAGGCCTCGACTTCAGCCCTAGCCCCACTGCTGCCACTCAAACAGGCCACCTCATGCTATTCCCCAAGGCAGGCGCACCTTGGGGAATGGTGCAATTGCTCCCATGGCCCAGCACTCTCCCGAATCTGCCATGTGTGTTCTCTTTCTGTATTTAAGCTGCTGCGGCCTTACCTGAGGCTGTTCTGGGTCTCATGAGGCCTTCAGTTTTGAAGCAGCTTTGGAGAATGAGCTCTTCCAGCTTCCGCAACCCACATGAAAGGATGCCCTGTTCTAAGGCAACTTTTGGAGGCTGGGGAGGCCATGCAAGATCATGGCTTCTCTCCCACAACATCCAGAGGGTCCATAAGCCCTGTAAGAGCGCAACCTGTTCTTCAGAGACCCTCCTGAGTCTCTGAAAATCATGCAAAAATGGGGCATGCTTTCTTGGGTGTTGGTGAATGCTAGCTGTCACCCACAGTGATGTGGCATGTCACCTTTAACACACGTGTCATACGTTCACATCACCGATCTAGGAAAAGCTAAGGTGTATTGTTTTATCCTTTAGTAATTGGTAAGACTTGACTTGATAAAGTTGGTTCTAATTACCAAACTGCCTTCTAATAACCAATAGAAATTTTTCTTCAACAGGACTGGAGAAAAAGTACAGCTACTTAGAGAAGAGATAAGGAGGTGTAGGCATGCTTTGCCACCTCCCCATTTAAAAAATGTTGTCAAAATTAAAGAAACCCCTATGTTCTGACGACTGTAATTTCTGAACATTCAATATAGGCAGCAGTTCTTCATAGTTATTGAAAAATTTCACTGTGTATGCTTAGAGTCTCAGTCTTATTTATAACCTTACATTTCATGCTTGAATTTGGCACTGAACATGAGTTCAGTTGTATCTTCCTAAAATGTAATGAATTAAACACACACACACACACACACACACACACACACATCCTTCAGATTCTTGGAGCAAAGAGCTGTGAGGTTGACTTCTTTGCCTTTCCTCCTTTTTGGGGGTGTAAAAACAATCTGTTTTGAAAGTGCAGGACTATAGGATATAATTATATTTAAGTAATCTTATATCCCATACTGCCATTGGGATTCCAGGCTCTGGGGGGGTTGTAGCAAAACACAACCACAATCCTACATCTTAAATAATGTACCAAATTAGGGGAGGATAAGCAGAAGAGCAGCAACTTAAGTCCCTTAGAGGCTTTGGTGTGGCAGCCTGAGTTTTCTGCTTGAAGAACCACAGTGATTTAATAAAGCAATGAAGAGTACTGGAGTAAGCAGAGAGGGGGCATCTCCTGTGCCTGTTCTGTCATCTAGATGTGGCTGCAGACCATTATGAGATAACCTGGCATGAAAATCTGGGGAAAGTCCCAATTTCCCTAATATATTTTTAAAGGAATTCCTTTTTTTTTAAATCTCACAGGGAAGCAGGATGGGTGTGGAAGCTGTTATGGCTTTGATGGAAGGAACTCCAGATACCCCAGCATGTGTTGTCAGTCTGTCTGGTAATCAGGCCATCCGCCTTCCTCTTATGGAGTGTGTTCAAGTGGTAAGCGTTTCTCTCCTATCTCACTAATCTGTGGGAGATTATTTTATCTTCCTTCATATATGAGTGGGTTCTTTTGTTTTAACAAACCCTTTCTCTTTCTGAACAATTGCAGTTTCTCCAAAAACAGTACCTTCTAATGGAGAAAGACCGAGGCTCAGGGGTGGGATTCAGATTTTTTAACAACTGGTTCTGTGGGCGTGGCTTAGTTGGTGGGCATGGCTTGGTGGTCATGTGACTGGGTGGGTGTGGCCAACCCAATATCACTCACATCGAGGCACGCATCTCCTCGCCTGACCTCTCATGATTGTGGGGATGTTGCAACAGTTTTAAGTGTGAAAAATGGTCATAAGCCACCTTTTTCAGTGCCATTGTAACTTTGAATAGTCACTTCACACAAACAAAGTACCAGCAAAGGAAGGAAAAAAAAAACTCCAGATAAGTTTCTGAGACAGGAAGTCTAGTCCTGTCAAGAATGTAATAAGGGTTAACGGAGAGGCAGTTTCTGTAAGCAACACCAGAATGCTTCCTTCCTGCCTTCCTTACAGGATTAGGCCAGTAATTTCTTCTAACAACTGGTTCTCCGAACTGCTTAGAATGTTAACAACCAGTTCTAGCGAACAGGTGCGAACTGTAGAATCCCACCTCTGCCTAGGCTATTATATAGTAAAACTGCTCAGCAACTTCCATAATCACCACAATCTTTACCAGCCTTCAAAAAGACAGATTAAAGAAAGCTAGGAAAAACTGCTTGCAGAAAAGCATCATCAACGTTATTATCTAGTGGTGGAAGAGCAACAAAACTACAGTATTGACCTTGCTTGTGAGACGCTGGCAAGAAGTTGAAAGGACGTCCTCGTTTAATGACCCATGAACCTCACTAACAACAATAGGAATGGGATTGCTGTCTCTTAAGTGGTTTGGTGTGGGTGTAGTCACGTGACATCACTTTTTACAACCACCTTGCTTAGTGATGAAATTTCTGGTCCCAATTGCCATCATTAAGTGAGGATTATTTGCAGTTGTGTTGTGCCACCAAGCCAAGAGAGGCCCATGTCTCTCTAAAAATATAAATATTCTCCTCTTCCCAATTTCTTGTGTGAGTAAATGATGGAATGTTTTACAGGCAGAGGCAAGCTCTGTGTGTAAGAATCAGGTAACTGTTTCCACTTCTTTCAACAGACCAAAGATGTCACAACAGCAATGGCTGAAGGACGTTTTGATGATGCTCTCAAGCTCAGAGGAAGGTGAGGCTTAGTTTGAACAGAAATAAACGAAGGAGGAGAAAATAAAAGATAGGAAAGAGAAAGGGGGCAACAAGGAGGAAGAAACAGGAGAAGTGGCTCTATTTATTTTAGATTTGGTCCGGCCCTTCTCTGACATGTGTCAGAAAGACTATCCTAAGGCAATGCTATATTTATATGTCAGATTAACTTTGAAGAGTAAAGTTTCAAACCTCTCCTCCTGCATGGACATATCTCTGTAGTTTCATGTGTCCATGCAGCCACCAAGATTTACTTGTTGCCTTTTCAGGGATATTTTTCAACCTTCCAGTATAGCCTTGTTGGTCCCCTAACCAAGACTGATCCAGGACCATCCTGTTTGCTTTTTGAGATCAGCTAAGTTTGGCTACATGCCATTTCCTATCCTTTTTTTCATTATTTGCTACTGTTACCTTGAAGTTAGCTGTCCAACGGGTGGTTTTGTGTGTGTGTGTGTGTGTGTGTGTAAATAGGGAAACAACAACGAGCATTTTTATCATTCTTTCAACTGTTCAGAATTCTTCTTTCATCTGCAAAGCTCATGGCTGATAAAATACCCACCATCGTTTTCTTGTTGCCCACAGGAGTTTTATGAATAACTGGAATGTGTACAAGGTTTTGGCCCACGTGCGTCCTCCCTCAGCCAAGGTAATGGGTTGGAATGGGAGGAGAATGCATGGCAGCCAAGACAAAAACCAAAAACCAAAACCTACTGCTCAATGGCAGAACTCACTCAACACTGGCACGTTAGAGGTGACAGTTAGAAAGATTGAGTACCAGTAGATGTGTAAGTCCTTTCTCTGCCTGAAAAATCTGGAAAACTGCTCCCCGTGAGAGAAAACAAATAAACAATAGCCTTAGCATTTAGATTTATGCACCACTTCACCGTGGTTTAAACCCTCTCTAAGCAGTTTACAGAGTCAGCCTATTGCCCCCAGCAATCTGGGTCCCCATTTTACCGACCTCGGAAGGATGGAAGGCCGAGTCAACCTTGAGCCTGGTCAGGATCGAACTGCTGGCGGTCAGCAGAATTAGCCTGCAATACTGCATTCTAACCACTGCACCACTACAGCTCATATTATATGATCTAGAGTCTAGAATAAAGCTGGGATTCTAGAAAACTGGTTTTCCTTTTGTACTATGAAATGTCCTGGTTAGAGTGATTGAATATGTGCCCATTTACTTGGTATTTGGATGGAAGATAGAAATAGAGAGATAGACCCCTTCCCCCCTCCACTAAGTATCCTTCATGTTTGACAGAGTGATGTATCCTGCTAGGAAGAAATCTAGGTATCTGCTGCTCCGCTCTGGGAGTTTGGACAACTACAGCCATTCCCAATTGATAATATTAAAATTCGATTCTAAACTGAGCAGTCTGGCTGGGTCTTTGTGGCCTCCAGGTTGGTTCCTCCAAAGGAATCCCAAGACCAAAGGAATCCCAAGACTTTGAAGGGGTGGGGGGATGTGTGTATATATTGGAAGCCATTTCTGACTTTAGCTTGATCCTTTTATTTTTCTTCCAGAGTGGCTATAATTTGGCAGTGATGAACGTAGGTGCACCTGCTGCAGGCATGAATGCAGCTGTGAGATCCACCGTCAGAATTGGCTTGATCCATGGGCATAAGATGCTGGCTGTGCATGATGGGTTTGAGGGCCTTGCTGAAGGAAAGGTAACTCATTTAACCTGTTCCATCCATTTCTCTTAGAATGGAGTGGACAACCTGTGAGCCACTTGTGATTCTCAGACATTTTTTTTTTTGCTTTGCATTGCCAAAATTTCACAATAAGAGTTCTCCACTCCTCTACTTATAGCAGAATACCTTATGCCACCAGACTTGAAATTCTAGACCTAGGAAACCTAGAACTACGCCGTCTTTGGTCCGATCTAAGTATAGTGTATAAAATCATACATTGCAATGTCCTATCTGTCAATGAATACTTCAGCTTCAACCATAACAACACAAGAGCACATAATAGATACAAACTCAAGGTTAACCGCATCAAACCTGACTGCAGAAAATACGACTTCAGCAACAGAGTGGTCAATGTCTGGAATACTCTACCTGTCTCTGTGGTTTCTTCCCCAAACCCCAAAAACTTTAACCTTAGACTGTCTACTATTGACCTCACCCCTTTCCTAAGAGGTCTGTAGGGGGTGTGTATAACCGTCCCTGTCCTATTGTTTCTTTTTATTTTTCTTTTATGTATCCATGAATTCATAATTATGTTTATACTTATACCTGTTATCTTGTAAGCGATTGACAAATCAAATCAAATCAAATAAATAAATAAATGTCCCCAATGGGTACTTTGAATTCTGCAGCAGAATGGCTAATTTTCAGCATCACTACTTTTAATTATATTTTTCTCCAAAATAAGAGTAGAAAACACATATTTATAGCCTCAAAAGCCCTCCCAAAGGGACAAAAATGGGACAATTTTGACTTAGGCTCAAATAAGCTAAAAATCAGTTTCCATCAAGAAGCCAAGGAAGTTTCTTTCTTAAAGCATTATTTTTAAAAAAACATATTTTTGTTAAAAGAAAAATTTCTGTAAGATTGAAAAGTAATTATGGAAAAAGAAAAGTAGAAAAAAGAAAGTAATATGAAACAATAAAAAACTCTAATTAACAAAAGAAAAGGAAAAAAAATAGAATATAGAATAACAGAGTTGGAAGGGACCTTGGAGGTCTTCTAGTCCAACCCCCTGCTCAGACAGGGAACCCTACACCACTCCAGACAAATGGTTATCCAATCAGTTTTTCAAACTTCCAGTGTTGGATCATTTACAACTTCTGGAGGCAAGTTGTTCCACTGATTAATTGTTCTGTCAGGAAAACTTTCCTTAGTTCTAGGTTGCTTCTCTCCTTGAACAGTTTCAGCCATTGCTTCTTGTCCTGCCTTCAGGTGCTTTGAAGAATAGTTGACTCCTTCTTCTTTGTGGCAGCCCCTGAGATAACACTAAAGAAACACCTACCAATCTTTTTGCAGCAGCTCGAAGCATAGTAATAAATATCCTCCCAAATAACAAATCATTGGTTCCTCCCCATAAACTGACCTTTTTAATCAATAAATTCCAAATGCACCAATTTATATTTCTCACTTTCAGCAAAACATCCATAAAGGATTTCCAATCTTTTATGAATTGTTGTTTATAAATTATGGTTCCGCCTCAATCAGAAAAGTCACTTTAGCCATTTCTGCAAAGTCTGCCATCTTCACAATCCATTCCTCCATTATGGATCTTTCTAAATTCCATATTTGTGCATATAATAGTCTTGCTGCACTTCCCATGTATGTTCATGAACCTTTTCTAGTTGACTTGTCTGCAAGTCCTACTAAGACAAATTTCAGTTTCATCTAAATAATAATTTTTAAATATTCACTGCATCACCATATGTACCGTATTTATGTCCCATGTCTTTTTGCTTTTTCACAAGTCTGTCATGTATCTTAAAACATTCCTTCTTCTGCACACCATTGTGTGGCTATTGAGCAGAAGATCGTAATAATTGTGTTGCTGAGCTAAGAAATTCTTCCCCGCTCTGCTTTCTTTTTTCAGATTGAAGAAATAGGATGGGCAGGTGTTGGTGGTTGGACTGGAAAAGGTGGATCAAACCTTGGAACAAAAAGGTATTATGATGGGATAGAGGTGTTATAATAAAATAACATACTTAAAAATAAATCAACATATTGAAATGCTTTCTCCTGATATAAATTGAAGCACATATTGCTAAAAGGCCCAAATTTAAAAGAGAGTCAAAAGAGAGGTAATGTGGTAAGATAAGGAGTGTGGGGCATGTCAGGAGGGAGAGGAAAACCAAGCACAGACTTCGTACAAGAATCTCTTCTCTCAGAGATTGAAAATCCTGCTTGAATTTGGGCAGGAAGGATTTTCAGCTCCTAAGTAGAAGAATCTCCCAACGCCTCCCCTATTCTGAGGCACCCATGCTTCTTATCTGGGACCCATGAGATCCCTTAACAACCATACCCAGGAGTGCCAGGTCATTGAGCAAAGCAGTCACACGATGTCTCACTTATTGTCCGCTTTGTTTAACAACCAAGATTCCGGCCTCAAACGTGGTCATAAGTCAAGGACTAATAGCACTGGGAATAACTGAAAAGCTCCAAACACATCCTATGCTGACTCAGGTTGGTCAGTACTCTGATGAGGGTGACTAAGAAGCTTCTGGGTTAATGGAGAACTTTCTGGTACTTTCTGTGACTGAATTAAAGGGACTGTGTATAGGAGGATCATTGATACATTTTATTGATTTTGTCTGTTTGATCATAGGACTCTACCCAAGAAATATTTTGAGGAAATCAGCAACACCATAGCCAATTTTAACATCCATGGGCTGATTATCATTGGAGGTTTTGAGGTAGGCCTGTGGAGAGTTCAGCAATTACATTAACTCACTGATCTTACATTGGATCCATACGAAGACATAGCTAAGTGAGATCATATTTCATAGATCTCTTTCCTCAGGCAAAATGTGTTTCAATGATGGCTGGAAAAAAAAAACCCTTCCGTCTGACATCTGCATCTTAAGCCAGCTGAACAAGGGAGAGCATGTTCAGAGCTTATTTTGATGCAAATCTGATTCTGATAAAGAATGATAATGGGAATGAGGTTCCTTTATTATCAGTAGAGAGGGAAAGGGAGGAGTTGGAAGCTTCAAGAGGATGATGCTTTCAATCTTGGGGTTTTGAGTGCAGCATCTGAACAAATTTAGGAAGTTGGATTCCCGGTTGGATAATAGAACTCCCCCTCATTTTTCTTCCATTTGGTAGGCTTTTACTGGCAGTATGGAAATAATTGAAGGGCGGTGCAAATATGAAGAGCTCTGCATCCCGATCTGTGTGATTCCTGCGACTGTTTCTAACAATGTTCCTGGTTCTGACTTCAGCATCGGTGCAGACACAGCCCTCAACACCATAACCTCAGTAAGTGCTTTGCTAGCATCTCAGTTTCAGTTCAGGAAAAATTCACCACGGGCAGAATCTTACCGGGGCTTAAATTCACATTTTTGAAGTGAGGAATAGGTTTGCAATAGCAACAAGTATGTCCTGTGCACAGGAGCCAAGAACAGATCTTGAAGAAAGAAAAAGACCTGAAAATTCAAAAATCATTAATATCATTTTGTTTATCTTGAGTTACAAGTCATAGAGGATACAGGTGTAGGGTTTACCATCTGCAAGTTTTAACTAGGCTGTAGGAATTTGAAACCAGCAAGAGCAATAGTGTTTAGATTTATATAGCGCTTCACAGTGCTTGAGAGTCCTCTCTAAGCGGTTTATTAGAGTCAGCCTATTGCCCCCAACAATCTGGGCCCTCATTTTACTGACTTCGGAAGGATGGAAGGCGGAGTCAACCTTGAGCCAGTCAGGATTGAACTCCTAGAAATCAGGATTAGCCTGCAATATTGCATTCTAACCAGTGCACCACCATAGCTCTTAATACTTTTGAAAGAAAGCTGTCCTAAATCTGGAGAGTACTGATCCTGGTAATCCTAGAACAAACTAAATGATCACTAAACAATGAACAAAGTTTTAGGCAATTTCATGCAATTAAAATGAATGAGGGGCTATTGCTCAGTGGCAGAGTTTGCACTTTGCACATGGAGCCCCACTTGGGTCATTTGCAAAGTTGCTCCCTAGATAGACAAGAGAGTGCAGGCATTACTACCTGTCTCAATGTATACATATAAAAAAGAAAGGTTTTGCATGTTATATACAGGTAGTCCTCGACTTACAACAGTGCATTTAGTGACCATTTGAAGTTATGCTGCCACTGGAAAAAAGTGACATGTTTTTTCACACTCATGACCCCAGAGATCAAAATTCAGATGCTAGGCAACTGACTCATATTTACGATCGTTGCTGTGTCCTGAGGTCATGTGATTTATCTTTTGTGACCTTCTAGCAAGCAAAATCCATGGGGAAGCCAGATTCGCTTAACAACAGGGTTACTGATTTACCAACTGCAGTAATTCACTTAAGAACTGTGGCAAAAAAGAAATATTTTCCAGCTCCCATTCAAGGCTTTTCTTTTTTTTTCTGCCTGGTTTGTTTTCTTCTTAGACTTGTGACCGCATCAAACAGTCTGCAGCTGGAACCAAACGGCGGGTCTTCATCATTGAAACCATGGGAGGCTATTGTGGCTACCTGGCTACTATGGCAGGCTTATCAGCGGGAGCAGATGCTGCCTACATTTATGAAGATCCTTTCACCATCCATGACTTGGAGGTGAACATCTTTTGCAGACGCAAATGTTTGCTCTATAACTGCATACCTGGCCCTAGGAGAATTGTATGTGTTGATAATCTAGGCCAGAAGTCTCTAAACTTGGCAACTTTTAGGACTTGTGGACTTCAACTCCCAGAATTCCTCAGCCAGCATTCCGGGAGTTGAAATCCATAAGTCTTAAAGTTGCCAAGTTTGGGGACCTCTGATCTAGGTGAAGAACTGGACCCAGTATTTGAACAAATGAGCTCTATTGCATCTTAGAAGAACCCTGAACTTCTTGGTAGAGCAAGGAGAAAAATACCAGTTACAAACTAGGGGGAATTCATGTTATCAGAAACATACTGCTGCCTGAGGATTGTTTGTTTGTTTGTTGTTGCTACTATGATATTAGTAAAATATCGTAGTCGTCATATTAACTTAGTAAAATATGACACTCCAGCCATGTCTGACTTTTAAGTGGCTGATACATTTCCAGAACAATAATACAGATGAAAACACAGCAATAACTTCCCACTGTAAAGGGGCAACCATGGCTCATAAATTTAATCACCTTCACCTCAGGAAATGCACGAATAAACCTTGCTCCCTTTTTATAGTAGCTAAGCTAACTCTCTCAGATAATCCTTAAGGCTTGTCCAAGCAGCCAAATCTTAATAGTTCTGTCAAAATATAACAGGGCTGGAGCCCAGCTGGCTGTTGCAGAGGGATGGGGGCAGTGATTGAGAAAGTGGGATCTAAGAGTCCTGAAGATCCTTCAGGTAAGGTCAAAAGAGAGCCTTCTGGTCCAAATCTTAAAGATGGGCAGAGATCAAAGGGAGAAGGTAGTCAACAGATATCCAAGTCTGGTATCATGAAGGGCTTTAAAGGTGATAGCCAACACTTTAGCCTGTTCCTGGAAACCAAGTGGTAACCAGGGCTCTTCTTGGGGTGGAAGAACCAATACTTTGCACCTATCATTGTTAGCACCCTGTTGTAATTTCTGAGTGACTTCAATAGCAGCTCCCTGTAGAGCTTTTGTAGAGTACATTTCAGTAATCAGGACAATAAGTGACCATTCATATAAGTGCCCGATCCAGGCTGGGTACACCAAACGGATCTATACAAAAGTCCTCTTGATTGTAGCTATCACTGATCTTGAAGCAGTCCATGAAAACCGATTCGCACAACTCTATCTAGAGCCAAAATAGAATATCTCTGAAATTTGTGGGCTTTTGCATCCAAAGCCACTTATTTGTGTTGGAATTGGCCTAAGTCTGTTTTTTCATATCCCAGCCTTCACAGCCTCCAAGGTATTAAAAAAATAGATCCTTGACCCCATCTCCAGTTGTGTTCTGATGTACTATAAGATTGGAAGAGCATCTTTCCACTCCCCACCAACACACACCTATACTTATCAACATATTTTACTGTGGATATTAAACTTCTAATGTAACTCTAATTGTAATTACAACACCACTTATTAGAGAAATGAATGGAACAGAACACACTGGCTGTTTCTCTGTGATTTGCTCTTCCAGCCCAATCAGATAACATTGCTTGATTTCTGCAGTGGGTGTAATTGTGGTTATTAATTGTTCCTAAGAGAAATTACAATTGCTTGTTGCCCTTGTGTTTTATTTAGAGAGATGAAATATAATTTCCTGTCTCCCTCCAGAGGAGAATGCCTATTACATCTCTTTATTACTTTTTCCCCAGTCTTTGTCTTCAGTCAGAAGCAATTGGACAATTGAGAAGAGAGAGCAAATTAATTCACAACTTTAAGACATTTGTCACTGTGGATGCTGGCTCTGCCTTCACTAATACAAATCGATATAGACATGTGCAATTTGATATTCTCAAACAGAATTATTTTGTGTGCTCATATCCACAAATTCAAACGTTATCGTTAGCTTTAATACATAAATATACTACCTAATATGGAATTGATATGGAAAAATTTCCATTGGGGAGGCTGCATTTTGATTCTGTAATAAGAATGTGGTAAAGTTAGCGGCTTCACTAGTGTAATAATATCTACAGTGTTGTATTTGAAATGTGTTAATGTACAACTTGAGGGATAAAAATAATGTTGCCATTTTTTCTTTGGTTTACAGATGAATGTGGAACATCTGACTGAGAAAATGAAAACCACAGTGAAAAGAGGCCTAATATTGAGGTACTGATTAAACTTATCAGAGGGGATTAAAAGTTTAGAAATCATTGAGTTCTCTAAGTGTGATGAAAGATACTCCTTTTTGGAATGGGATATGAAAAGAACTTTGAGAAACAGGAGGTAGTGCTGCAGCCTAGACAACTATTTGACAAAATAAATCTGAGTCCAAAGCAGGAATGTAATTTGAGAAAATGTCTCAGTAGGGACTCTACCTAGTCCTCTTACTAGATAAGGAGGGAAGAAGCATGTTCAGACTTGCAAGATTTTGTTACTGTAACTTTACAATAAAAAAATAGTATTTATCATTTTGATTTCCCTGTCTGGAAAAGGCTGACACTTTGCAAGAGAAACAGAAGCAAGAGTATTTGTATGCATATGTTGCTGTAATTGTAGTGTGCAACATTCTACCAAAATAAATTGGGACTTTCTTCACAGAACACAGAATTACTAGGATTGTGCATGCTTTGCAAGTAATTCTGAAAACAATTCAGAAATACTTCAGATTGCATGCAAGTGCAGTCTTCCTTTGAGAAATCTAATTATCGCAGCTGCGGGTTTTTTTTCAGAGTGTTACGGAATCTGAAAAAAAAATCTGAACATATTTTTCAGACTTCAGTGGAACCTGAAAAAAATTGGAACTATTTTAATGACTTGTAGAAAGATGCTATACCTGTATGAATTATTTTTGAAGTGTGCCGCGTCCTCAAAAATGTTAGTTTTGCCACATTTTACCTATGGCCTAGCTTAACTATGGCAGAATTTTTTTTTCCCAATTCTCCAACATTGCTGGCACTGTACTGTAGGACTAGGGAAACGTAGAACAGCTTTCCAACCAGCATATTATAGCCAGAAGTGCCCATTCGCTACTTAGCAGTTTATATGTTGCTAAATATAGAATGAATATTATGCCCATCTTCAACTACAATAACAGCAAAATGAGCTGCAAGGCATTTCAGGCAGCCCAGCCTACCATTCTGCAGAGAAACAAGACCCTTTCTTTTACCATAATCCAGTGTCTCAAATGAACAACAGCATTTTACAGGTTAGCTTACTTTTTCACTTTTTTAAGCTAATAAGCACCATGAGAAATGAAACAGAAAGAAGTACTGGATCTTCTGGAAAGATTTCTCTAGATCAATACTTCTGAATTCTGGAAACTTAAGAAGTATGGACTTCTACTCCTAACTCTCCACCCAACCATGCTTCTGGGAATTGAAGTCCATATGTCTTAAAGTTGCCAAAGTTATAAGAAATACTGATTTAGATATTATAAATAGACAGCATCCTTCTACAACTAGCTGTAGCTGAGGAAGTTTCCCATTCAGTGGAATATTGTGGAAAACAGCACAGACATTTTAATAACTGAGGAGTCCTTGGCGCTCTCTTAGCTTGCTTGTTTTCTTGCAGACGTTTCCTTACTCAAAATAGCACTGATGGTATTATCTGGTTTGGGTAACGAAACATCTTCAAGAAAACAAGCCAGCTCAGAGAACATCAAGTACTCCTCATTTCAGCCCCAAGCTACAAATGTTCTCCTTTATTTTAATACCTATAAAATACGTGCATGCTTTTTCCTCATGCTGAGGCATATACCAAAACAAGGGCAGCAGCTGATTTCTGTGCAAAGGGACAAGATTAGAGGCCAAGTTTACATTTGATGAAAATAAGTACGGGATGCTCAAAAGAGCCAGATTTTTCTCAAAGATTGAAGAACTGTCTTTGACTGCTCTTTGAAATCCACCTTCTTCCACAAAGTGCTTTCAAGGTGGATTGAACATTGGTACTCATAATTTACAGCATCAACAACTACAAATTATAGGCTGTAAAATGAAAATGAGATTTTAATCAGTGTGTTGTAATGACGAGGCAGTCGAGTTGTTTGATCATGAACAACTGAATCATGATGATCTTTATCGGAGTCTAGTCTTGCCTTTACACACATTTTTAATTATCCTCCATCATTGGTTAACTTGTGTTATTGCTTAACTTTTGTTACTGTTTAGCATAGTTATCCATACAATTAATTAAAGTCTAACATATGTTTACTTTCTCTCTCTAATCCCCCTTTAGATTAGTGACTTTGTTTACCTGAGTTGTATTTGCTTGGAAACATTCTTTATCTGAGGTTTGCCATCCGAGATTGGAACATTCCTGCAATTACAACTCTACACAGTGAAGCAAGAAGACTGTGAATAAAATAGGCAGATAGAACTATATGTAAGAGTTGTCAAAAACATTCTGAAATAAAATGCCCTTTTGACGGTATTATACCAAAACATTATCCATTTTATGGACTATTTAGTCAAATCTATGTTTTCGCGCTGCATAAATGCCTCTTTTCTTCACTTCCAGGAATGAAAAATGCAATGAACACTATACCACAGATTTCATATATAATTTGTATTCAGAGGAAGGAAAAGGTGTCTTTGATACCAGAAAGAACGTTTTGGGACATATGCAGCAGGTACATCGGAAAGATCAGACTTGATACTCTCTTGTGAACTCACCTACTGTAATCAGTATGCTTGGGCAGAAAAGTCCCAGTAGCCCACTGACCCGTTTTCTTACCTGTCTCAACACCATCACTGCAGTTCTTTCTACCCGAAGATTTTCAAGCTTCAAGCGACTGTCCTCACCACACTTCCATAACTCTAAGGTTTAACCCCTAATTTAATATGATTCTCCTTCTATCTTCACAGGGTGGGTCACCGACTCCATTTGACCGAAACTTCGGAACAAAAATGGGTGCCAAAGCTGTGGCATGGATTTCCGGCAAGATCAAAGAGTGCTCCAGGCATGGTATGTGGGAGCTTTCCATTGGATTGCCTCTTAGATTGATGGGCAGCCACACCTTTACTGGTAATAAGCAGGATAGGAAAAAAAAAATCAATTACAGTAAGCAAAGGAATGTCTACACCAGAGGTTTGGTACGATCTATGATGGTCTTGAATTTTGGGGTCGATTGATCGAAGTCAGTGCTTAAGATCTTTTCACATATATTCAAAGCCTGACGCAGTACTTAATTTCAGGGTTTGTTTTTTTAACGGAAGATTTTTCTGCTAAATTCCAATGTATCCCTTTACACCCCATGTTTCAAAATAAATGCTTTCCAGTGGAGCTTTCAATAGAAGAATAAAAACCTAAGCTTCCATAAAAAAGTTAACATTTTATATGCTCCTTTTGCAGGTCGTATCTTTGCCAACACTGCTGACTCAGCTTGCCTACTGGGTATGCGCAGACGCGCCCTGGTATTTCAGCCCATTGCAGAACTCAAAGAAGAAACAGATTTTGAGTAAGTCTTCTCTGTAGGAAAAAATCAAAAAGTGTACCATGGAAAGTTAAGTTAATCCAGAATATTAGTTGGGAATCCATTATCATAGCTTCCTACAAGTTTCCCAAGCTCGGGTAAATCTCTCTCAAAGACAGTGTAGCTGCAGCCATCAAATATGTTGCAGTGGGATGGATGACCGCTGCCATGAAGATACTGACCTTACCTTTATCCTTCTTCGACAGACATCGCATCCCCAAAACGCAGTGGTGGCTAAAGCTTCGTCCCATCTTGAAGATTCTAGCCAAGTACAAGATCGAGCTGGATACCTCAGAGAGAGCCCACTTGGAACACATCACTCGCAAGAGAGTATCTGGGGAAGGTGCCCTGTGAACAGTTAGCAGCAGGGGCAGCTATCCCTCCCCTTTCAGTCATGGCATGTAAGGAGATGTCTAAATAAATTACAAATCCTCGGTTCCTTCCCCTGGTTAGCATGCAGCTTTCCATCTAGTGTTATGTACTGTAATCGGAGCCACGTGCCTATTACAAATGGCATATCATTACATCACACCGTAGCTGATACTTGGCTAAACTTTCTACTGTTAGTTCAAGGCAGCTTAAATACCGTAGGTTCCCTACTGGTCTTTCCATTTGGATAATAGCTAGGGCCGCTCTTAGGTTTATCAGTATTATATAATCATATGCTTCCAGGCCATCTTTCTCCAGAGTGGAATGGACTATTGCTGCCAGATTTTCCTAGCCAATCTCGGAAAAAGTAGCCAAGGCTATTTGCTGCTCCAGGAATGTACTTCCAATAGAATTTTCTTCATCCCGTCATCCTTCAAACCAGACAGAATTATTATTAAAACTTTTTGTCATCTGAATGTCCCAAAATAGATTCAACTCATCCAAGTGCTCAAAATAAAAACAAACCAGGAACTATTTGACTAGAAGTTGTAATATCTCTGCTCCCTATTTCATTTTAATTGTGGCACCAATCTCTGTACTGCAAGTGGCCTGCCTAGTTATTGCTGAATACTGAATCTTATTGTTGTGTCTTTCCCAATCACATTTTCTTTCTTTATCCAGAGTAAGCTCCATTCAGATTGGCTTAAAGGGAACACTGCACCTGCTGTATATAATCATCCTCTGCATTTTTTTTACGTATGAGAGAAAAGCTAAGCCACGAAGAAGCACCACCCACTTTGTGTATCTGCAAGGATAGGAGTTTTGCTCTTTGGGTGAATGCTTACGTAGACATTAAATTGGTGAAACCTATATAGGGCAGCTCTGGTGAAGTGGTGACTGGGTTTAGAAACGGCTTTCAGAATACTGGCAGAATGACACATTTGGTTGTTTTTTTATACATGCGAGTAGGACTATGGACTAGTAAGTAAATTGACTCGTTTAGAGAATATTCGTGGTTTTCCAACCTCACAAAACTACGATAAGATTAATGTGTGAACAGAACCGTTGCCATCAGGATCAAAAAATAAGTGCACTTAAAAATAAAGGCCGAGTTAAAAAGTTCCAAAAATACAACGTGGAAAAGCCCTTTCGGCAATCATGATTTTTAAAGTGGAAGAATGAGCAGGAGGAATACCAAGCTTAAACTTTTTATCAAAAGAGAACAGCTTCCTTGGGGAGTTAGGTTGCAGTGGGTGGATATTCATCTCTCATATAATCCATTGATTTTCCTGGGCTACTCACAGTTGCACAAACCGACCGATGTGTGATGTTTCCTGACACCCTAACATCTACTGTTAAATTTAGGAAGGGACAGACCATTTTAGCATGACTAAGTTCAATGTTCCCAACTTTCTTCCATTGGTGTTTATGGAACTACCACTGTGGAACTTTCTTGAATACTCTGGAAAACCTACAGCAGAGCAGGACCTACCCTGAGTAACCCTGAAAGCAGGCTCAAGGGACAAAAAGGAAAAAAAAAGAACAAAAAGCCAACATCTGAACAATGCATGAAGATAAAGGCGAGCCACCAATATATAGACTTTAGTGTGTAATCAAGATGAATGGAAAAGAACAGCTACAGAAAGGGAATTTAACATTTGCCCTTATGACTAAATTAAAAGTCTTTGTGGGTTTCTCCAGCAGAATTATCTACCATAACATATTTCTGCTAATATTGAATGGAGGCCTACAAAATACCTTAACAATAACTTTAGGAACACAATCCAGCTGTTGATTGGTACTTTTTTTTTGTTAAGAATCTCCCTATTATTTGGATGTATTTAGCCCCTTTCACGAAAACTACCATACTCACAATGTGGTCCATTCATATTATGTTTTTGTTTTGGTGAAATCCATCTAATTATCATTATTGAACTAGTTCACCTTGTTCATCTATCCCCAAGTTTATATATCAATTCTTGAAATTTCATAATCAGAATTATCACTATTGAGAAATCAGTGTACCCACACATCTGCTTGAATATGAGCTGGCCTATAGTATGAATATAAAAATACGGACTTAAGCAGAAGAAATCAGTCAACTTTCTGCTGCAGATAGTCAAGAAGAAAAATAACCATATAATGCCTTCTTATGAAGACATAAACAACAGAATAAAAACTCCCCAATGCAATATAAATTTAATGAACAAGCTTTTAATATCCAAGTCATCTGCGCACTGAACAAGCATTCCTCCACAATCAAGCACTTCAAAAATAGTACTTTGAGCTTACAACATGATTTTTCTTGTAAGCAGATCCAGGGGAAAACTGAACCATTCTCATGATGAATTATTCCTTTGGAATTTGGGGTAGAGGTGTAAAACAAAGAACAAAATTGTTTTGAAATGTTCCCCAAATCATCTTAGTCCAGCTGCAGTTCAGCAGAAAATCTGAAAAGTGGTGCTTCTGGGTTTTGGTTAAACCAAAATTTGAATCCTAGAGTGATTTCCTGAGGCAAAGAAGGCAAGACAGTTTGCTTCATTTCTCCTCTCCTTCTACAAGTGGTTTTGTCACAACTCTTGTATTGAATAAAACAAGTCCTATTTTGTATATGGTATATGGTCCTAAACTCCAAAAACGCATATTTCCACTGTGATGGCTGACTATCCAAATGTTCTATGTAGGGAATATTTTTTCACATCCTTATTTCTATAAGGCTGTGGCATGCTAGTATTATTAATTTGCCTAAGAAATAAGAAAGGAAACACATCTGAAGAGAATGGTGGCTCTGTTCACATCAAGTAGATTCCACAGTCCAGTATCATAGAATGTATTTCAACAATTAATATAATCATTTCTACGTTGTCTAATTTTCAAGGTGGCTGTTTAGGGTTCTAATTCCCATCTCCCCTTCTCAAAATAGAAGTGAGGATATTATCCTGAGCAGACAAGAAATACTCCAGGAATCAATGTGAGAGCCAATACTCCAATCTTAGGAGAATAGCCAAAAAATAATAAAAAAGGCATATTGTCGGAAATTACCATTCCATTTCTGAAACTGAATAGCAGATAAAACAGTGGTTGTAATTACAGTGCGCACACACCCAGGCCATTGGACTTGCTCAGTGATGCACTTGGCACATGTCTAACAGGGGTAATTGGACCTCTAAGACTTGTATTCTCAGCCCCCCCTACATTCATAAGGATGCTGCTTCATTTGTCCGAACCAAGATAATTATTTGTGAAAGAAACACACCTGCAATTTTACATGTCTACAATTTTACATTTTAAGAAATGGCAGATATAGCCCTTAATAAATTAGACTTGTCAAACCCCACTCCTCCCATTTTTCATTTTCATTAAAACAGATGAACGTAATGGAAGCAAAAGAAGCCTGCCACAAAACAAGCGAATTACAATCATAATTGTATGGCAAGAAAAATGTATTTTAACTTGTGTCCAATGGAGAAACCCATTGAAATGTTTGAAAGATGCCTTAACTTTTTCAAAAATGAATACTTTTCCTTTGCCATTTCTTCACAAGGGCACACTAGAACTGTACAATAATAAAGAATGTGCTGGCAAACCAGAAGCTGACTATAGTAGATAAGTTCCATTGTTGCTGGGCTCAATATAAGCCTAGTAACATTTGTCTGGAGCTGCAAAGTACAGGAAGTGAAAGAACATTCTGGAAAGCTTTAAAGCGGTGAATAAAATATGTACGTACACCGTGGGCAGAAAAGATTTCCTCATCACTATGCAAGATACAAAACTGCCATGATCATTAGTATGCCTCCAGAACAAGCACCACTGAATTACTTTTTTCAATTTATTCAGATAGGGCAACAGTTTCTACAGAGGGTCGTAATGAGGTGAGAGTATGGGGAATTAGTCTGACTACAGATTTCTACACATACAAACCAGTACTGTAAACAAAAGGCTGAGTTAAAAGCAATATCTTTTTTCATTGTAGGATGTTTGTTCTTTCCTCACCCGACCCATCTCCTTATCTTGTCACAAATTCCTCACCCAGCCCGAAGCAACACACTTCATCATCTCCTCCTCCTCAGATTTCTATCACTTTTTCCTGTGATATAAACAGAGATGGTCTAAAAAGCAACAACAAAAGATAAGCCAACAAAAGTGGCTTTGTGCAGCACTCAAGATCCTAAGATGACGCCCTGGAGCAGGGGTGGGCACACGCACATACACATGACTCTTGCTAGTGCCTCCTTAACAAACCAGTGTCTTTTCTTGGGCTCACTCTTGCCAAGCAAACCTGAAAAATTATGCATCTGAGTTAAAGACGCATCAATTGTGCACTTAGAAATACAGTCCAAAACACCTGACTGGCATCTCCTTAATCGGTACTCTTTGGAATCATATGGCTGTTTTAAGAAGTAGAAAGGCCAAATGCATATCCGCACCCACTCTGAAGAACCTTTTTGGCTTCGGTTCCCAAAGCACTAGGATGCTCTGTTCTTGGTTTTCAAAAGGAGCCCTTGCCTTTCTGAGCATCTCTGCAACTGGATGTGAGAATCTCAAAGAAGCTAATGTAAAAGAGAACAGCCCTTAATCTCTACAGGAGCTGATCAGCTTACCCGATTTATTTATTCAGATTCATTAAGCCATTACATTCCTGAAAGGAAATCATTTATCAATAAACAAAAAATATATGAAATACGTATGTCTTAGGAGAGCCTAAAACCAAGAAGACGACTGGATTACTCAAATGCTTTGATGCATGTAATGAGTTTAAAGAAGCAAATGTTGCCATTCTTCAGCCTCCTCAGTTTGTTTTGAGGTGCTAGGAGTCAACTGGCTCTGTGAATGTTTCACTGAGAACAGAAGTCATCCTGAATTTTGGAAGTGGTCTTCTTCAGGAGGTGGAACACAGACGTGTTTCACTTGGGCCTCCTGGCCATAAGAAGCCAGAAGTCCTTTTCCTAGCCTCCTTCACTAAAGAAAGCTCAGAAGGATACTATAGCAAATGGAGAAGCTAAGGGAACACACTGGACAAAAGTGCAGATGTCACACCAGCTGACTCCTGGAGCTACATCTCTAAAATGCCATGTCCACCATGGCTCACCAATTTGCTGGTAAATACAATCCTATGGAAAAAAAAAAAGAGGAAGCCATCATTTAAGCAAGACATATTCTTTCAAAGATTCTGGCAGGGGCAGTTCCTTCACTGCGTCTGGTAGGAACTGCACACCCAGGCTGTGGCGCACAGCATAGCGTGAGAGTGTCTTTAATGTGCCTGGGACAGAACATAGCGTGGTAAGCTTTTCACAAAGCTGCTGATCTCGCATCACCTCGCGTGGCATCGTGCCGTTTTTCCTCAATTCGAAGTGCCCAATGGCTCGGTGAAGGAGATCAAAGCAGGAATCTTCCCTCTCGGTGCCAAGTCCTCTGACCAGCAGGGCAACCAGCCTTGAAATTGGGGTCTGCCCCTTCATATTGACAATCCGGACCTCAGCTCCGTACTCCAGGAGAATGTTGACGCTCTCCAGGTTGCCCTTCATTGCTGCCCAGCTCAGAGGGGTATCGTCGTTATAATCCAGAGCATTGACAAAGGCCCCGCTTTCCAAAAGTGTTCGGACGCATTCCGCATTGTTTTTAAAGGCAGCCCAGTGGAGTGGAGTGTCCTTATTGCCATCCAGTGCATTGGGATTTGCCCCATATTCCAACAGGATCTCCACACAGGTCTCATCCTTCTCAGCTGCATAATGAAGGGCTGTTCGATTGTAGCCATCAAGGGCGTTGACCTGAAAAAAACAAGGAGGAGGAAGGGGAAGGTGCTTTCAGTGTGATTAAGAGCTATAGAAAAAAATGATCAACAAGCTCAATTAATGGGGCAGAAGAATCCTTCCTTCAGTTCAAGCTTCCATTAGGACTCAGCACTCCCTCAGGCAAAGCACTTTGTACAGTATAGCAATTTCTCTCAAAATACAGATCTTCTTCCTTGACTACTTAATCTAGAAGATCAAACCTCACAAATCAGCAAAGAAATGACTTTGGTATCCTGACTTTACATTGAGAAATAGGATATTTCTGATAGTTCAGTGTTCTCTATTATTTATGCCTATCTGATTATTGCTCTCTGTAGGTGCACCTGACTAGTTTTTAATGCCAGGAGGGATTAATCCTTGCCTTAATCTAGCATAGGCAGTTCTTACATTCCCTGTCTCTGTCTCCAGAACAGGATGGTTGAATTGCATGATATAATCAATCTCTTAAGAGGCTGAGATGTCTCATTATAAGATTTTTAGAACATATTTTGAAACCAACGGGTGTTTTTTTTTGCACATTTAAATTGGTGTACGCCTGTTTTCTCTCACTATGAAGAAGTTTTCTATATCTAATGACCAATGTTGAATTAAGCTTCATCTTTATTTATGAAAGAAAATTCACTGTAATACAACAGATGAGAAAACTAAAACACAAAATTCTGTGGCAACAGAATTAAGCGACAAAAGAAATATAAAAGCACTATTTGAAAACAATTGCCAGGATACAAATGATACAAATCTCAAAGAGAATATGAGATTCTGAAATATACACCCTCCTTAAGTACAACAGGGCAAAGTACTGTTATTCAGAAGGATATTTCCCATTGGAGCATTTTATTTCCCAGTTTTTGCCTTTGAGAATATGTAATATTTTTCAACCTCAGAGCCAGCAACAGCACTATAAAATACTATCCAATCTCAAATCCCATTAAGTATTTGATAAATCTCATTAAAGTATTTGATAAATCTAATTATAACCACTGGCATAATTGGTTTCCTGAATTTGTTTTTCAAAAGGCTTGTGCTTCTTCTTACCTGAGCTCCTTTTTCCAACAGCAGCTCAATGCAATCTGCATCAGCCACCATGCAAGCACAGTGCAATGGTTTCAGAGTACCATGCATACAGTTGACATCTGCTCCCTGGAAGAACAGAGGAGAAAAAAATGAAGGATACTCATTATGTACTTCTAATCCACCAGCCATAACCGTGACAGCACTTTTACACAATCAACTTGCCATTTAAAAGCAGGAACAATTAAGGCATTTTTAATTTATGAACTGAAATACACAGACTGAAATTAAAAAAAAAACTAGTTTATCATCAGGCTCCTTGTGTTTATTGCTAATTTTGTGTTATCTCAACATTTCAAAAATAGTAGTGTCATAGTGGTGAATATGACAGATATTCAACAAGGCCTGGTTCTTCTGTTTCAGACAGCCTGGAAAATAAAAAAACCCAGGACTGTCTTTATATTTTTACAGGGTACACTGTTAACAGATTTACAACTTAACTGGATTAATTATAATTTTTGTTTCTTTTCTGTTTCTAACCCATTTAGAGGACATACAAATTGGGGGAAATACTCCAATATACTAAACCAGCCTTTTTCAACTTTGGTCTAGATCAGGGGTGACAAACTTGTGGCCCAAAGGTTGGATGAGTCACATGCTGGCCCTGCCCCCACCCGGTTTAGCGAAGGGGAACAAAGTCCCAATACGTCATGTGGCACTGCCATGACGCCACAAGTTTGATACCCCTGTTCTAGATGAACTGCTCAGTGGCAGTAATTCTGACGTTTTCTGTGGATTATAATAATCTATTAAATTTAGACTAAGGATAGGAAAGGTCTTTTCTTTTTTGGTACCTTTGAGTCAATCTTGACTCCCCACAGCTCCCTGACTATCAACTAGCTACAAAACAACTTATACAGCAAAGCAGCTGACAGTATCAATCAAGCTCAATCAAGCATCTCAGCCCCTCCAAGAGCTGTGTAATTGGAAACTGCTTGACTATTGCAATTTGACACTGAGAAGTATTCCTTGAAGAAAAAAAACTAGGCTTACAGAAGCTTGAAACACATGGATAAATACTATAAACTGTCTCCTTTCTAACTGGAATAAGTCATATTCCTTTAACTCCCTGTTTTATAGAGCCATGCAGGTATGACAGGAAGCATTCTTTAAAACCGTCCACAACCATTCTTCAATGCAAAATCTTTTCCCAACAAGATAATCTCCAAGATGTGAGGTCTGCAACTTGGAAAGGTAATGCAGACAGGAAACAGTTCTAGTGTACATGGGAGACAGCAAATTAGAAGTTACTGTCCTGGAAGTTACTTAGCTGGAAAACATGTATGAGAATACAGGACTATACCTTTTCTATAGCAGCTCTTCAAATGTAAATTTTTTTGAGGGAGCGAGTTCATCTCCAGTGAGTTTTAGGTGAGTAACTAGAAAAACAGGGTTTTGCAAAGGCTTCTGACATTTTAATTTCATTTGGATCATTTTAAAGTGAAAAATGAATTCAATTGCTGAATTGTAGGTATTTTGGGGGAGCTTTGGTAGATGGAAAGGTAGCTTAGAAATACAGCTGAATTTGTGACAAAAAAGTAATAGACGAGGACTAGCAGAAACAAAAACAGCCAATTTGATCTCTGCAATTAGAACAATTCTTGGAACTTCTATTGATACATATAGAATTTTTTTTTTAAAAAAACCCTAAAATATAGTTGCACAGGTCATAGCATTAGTATAAATGTCTAAGTATCTATCTTCTTTTCAAAAATCCTTACATACTCAGATAAGCACATTTCTATCCGCTTGAGAAAGATCATATAATGTCTCTGTTACATAGCTGCTGCCTTTTCTAAGACAACATCTCCTGTAATCCATTTTCTCCTACACAGAGGTGGAGGAAGGAAGAGACATGATGACTGTTTCCTACTGCTGAATGGTATTATACTGCAGTGACAACAGTAGGAAATAAGAACAGAGTTCGGACCATGATACAGAGGAATGCAGTTTCCATGCCAATTCTGGAGCTGCTAATTCTATGACAAAATCTTCAGGATTTTTCCCCCCGGGAGAAAGTTAAAATCCAAACTTTACAATATTAGGCATTATGCAAATCGATTCAGAAAAGTATTTATATTAAAGTGGCATTATTTTTAGATTGTTTTCCCACCATTTCCTGAACTGTGACGCACATGATGATGCTAGAAATCCAGCAACTCCTTGAAGATCTACCAAATTTAAAACACACTATTAGATACTAGCTATTAAATATTATAGTTTTCAGTTTATTCACACTTCTTCCCTAGATTTCTTCACAACCCAAGGTTACATCTTTCTCTCACAAGAGGGGCAAGACCATCATTCTCCTAACTTTGAACTTCACCACAATGTCTTCCAGTACTGAGACCACAATCCCATCAGCATGGCTATCTGATGCAACCAGGCTAAAGAAGGCTATTTAAAGTTTTCTTCCCACGCTATCCTGAAATCAATTGCTGTTAAAAATCAACTGCTATTAAAAAATGCTGTTATCTCAGCTTAGTGCCTTCTAATAAATTCTAAATATTATCCTTTGGTGTATAAATTGTGGTTTAACATCGGCTAACCCTTGCTATAAAAGACACTCTCTAATTATCAAAGGTAGCAATTTTTTAGTGTTAAAAGATTTAACTAGTTGTTCTAATATCTTGGATGTCTCAGAAACTGAAAATGCTGCTGGTCCAAACAATGTTAACAAATGTTGTACAGTAGTTAGAAATATTGCCAATGAATTATATTTGATATTTATTTCTTAGCACAGAATTTTTAAAATTCATCCTCATCATGATATCAATTGTTTTAAAGTCAGTATCTCTATTTTCATCCAATTTTTCCATATCATCATCCTTTTCTCAATTTTTAATGTTGGGCTTCCCCACAAAGTCAGTGGGAAAAAGGATCAAATCTTGAGGGACTTCCGGTTTGAGTTCCTTCGCCGACAGACCGAAACCACAATTGTGTGCGGTTTCGATCTGTGCTCACCGCCAGAGCACCCCGAGCTGGCTGGTTTCGGGGCTAAGCCACCCCGAAGAGGTGGTGAAGAGGGGGGAGACTGCCAGCAGGGTGGAGGAGAGCCGCATCTCTCCTCCTCAGCTGGCCATTACTTCCTTTCCCAAAGGCGGTTGCAGCAGTGGTCAGAAATGGCCACCTCAAAGAAGAACTTGACCGGAAAAGAATGTGCAGGAGGAAGATAAGAAGAGAAAGTTTTGGTTGACCGGGTTAAACTGCAAAAGCAACAATGCAAGGTACCCTGGAATTTAAACTATAAAAAAAATAACATTGTTCCCAAATAAGATTTTGAAGCAGCGAAAGAGAAAGGGAAGGGAAAGGATTTGGGTTTTTTTTTCTTCCCTTCCCTATACTGACAGCTAAGAGACTTAAGCAAGAAATTGAAAAAATAATCATTTTGACATCAATAGGCATTTAAGTTGAAAATAAAATGTCAAAGGGATAATAAAGATTTCTGGATACTTAAAAGCTTTTAAAAGCAGGAAAGGAGAGAAAAAGAATAAAAGGGCAGGATCTGGAAAAATGGAGGAGACTGCCTGGAACTAAAGGAATTTACTGTGAAACCTCAACAAGATTCCTAACAGATACATTTTAACTGAAATTTGGCAACAAAATAATAGAACTCCAGGAAGAGAAAGTGGAAAAAAGAAGCAAGAAGAAACAGCTTTGGATTATTTGGATTACTTGGTGATCTTTGGATTTTTGGTTATTGCATTTAAATGACTAAAATCAATTGGGTGGTTGTTTAAAAGTGTTTAAAATGGCACCACTTTTAGAAGAACTGAAAATGGAACTTAAAAAGTACAAAGAAGATGCACAAGAAGGGAGATGTTATTTTGGCTTTGTATTTCAATTCTTAGAAATGGATATCTCAAACTATGAGAAACAACAAGAAATGCTTGCAGAAGAAGAAGATTGGGACAAAGAAGAAGCCATCTTTAATGATCAAGTAATTTTATGTGGGGGAAAAAAAGGAAAGGGGGGAAAGAGAATGAAAAGTTTAAGATTTGAAAAAACAACCAAAAAAAGAAGAATAGTTTGAAAAATAAGTATAATATTAGAAAGCAACAGAAAAGGGGATTACAGAAGAGAGAATTAGAAGTAGAAAGACAAGGGGGTAAAAAGGGGAGGGAGAAGAAGAGGGGGAAGAAGGAAAGGAAAAGAAGTTATAAAGGACAGAAACAAGATATAGAGAAACAGGGAAAAGGTATAAGAATTTAAAGTATAAGCCTGTTTAGAGATAATGGGTGAAAACTTAATTGTAAAAGGGATACTGCAAAGGTACATAAGATAGTATTGTTATATTACAAATAGAAATAATTTTAGAAAATATGGTTAAAATGATGGATAAAATATTTATCGTAATCTAGTGGAATGTTTGTTAACAAATAAATGAAATAAAGTGAATGAGAGAATTAAATTAGGGAAGGATGGGAACATTTTAATTATTATTAATTATTTATAAAATATAAGTGAAGAGAAATATGGGGAAAAAAAGAATTAATTATGGAAAGTTTATGTGTTCCCAAGGAAGTATGATATTTAATTGAAAAGAAATGTTAAAGATGTTAAGATTTTAATGAATATTAATGATAGAATTGAATTGGAATGGAATGGAATGAGTGCTTTATTTACATACATGCATACATACATAATACTTTTTTAAGAATATAGTGTGTATTTTAAGAATGTACCAAGCAGAATTCGATTGGAAGTTATGTATTATATTGAATGTTATAATCTTAAAGGTATACATTGAAGCTTAAATAAGAGTTGAATGGATAAAATTAAAAGATATAAAGGTGTCATACTCCTATTAGTAACTACAGGGGAAAATTTGTTTAATGAGAAAAGATAATATGAAATTGAAACAGGACAGACAAAAGTATAAATATGATTTGAATTGAGATAAGATAATCCAAATAAAGTTGAGAAAATTAAAAGAGGGGAAAAACTAGAAAAAGTAGAAAATGTAAAACAGTAATAAGATATGGAATAGAACACAAAAATGAGCATGAAATTGAGTTTGTGTCTGTATGAAGAAGTGATAACCCGGGACCATGCTATTTTCAAAAAAAGATGTTTTATTTGTGTTATTTTTTTTTGTGAAAACCCAAATAAAATTTTCAAAAAAAAATAAATCTTTTTGCTTATGGACATTCCATTCCGTAGCTTTCTAACTATAATTGTTTCTAGAGATACTAGAGGTCTAGTGTATTTAGATCTTAATACTATCCATCAAACCAAAGCTGCAATATATGTATATTCCAAGTTGCCCAACTTGGAAACTTAACACTAATTGTTGGCTTCCAGTATTTAATACTTGGCAATAAGCAATCCTGATGATAGAAGCTCACGTCTTCAGAGGATAATATTCTCTTGAATTATATATTTAGTATATGCAATTTGACAACTGGACAATATAAATGGATTCTCTGTGCCCAGACTGATACTATAATAATGGAATGATAAATTTATGGCCCCATTTACTGAAGGAATAAAGTTCTGATTACACTTGCTACTTATGGATTCCCTGCAGACATACAGTACTTTGTATGGATAATGAAATACGGGACTGGTTTATACAAAATACAGGTTAAAAACATTTATAGTTATATAAGTGTATTAGAAATAAAATACACTTCTATAACTATAGAAATATGTATAGGAAGGCGCAGACCACCGATAAGGGTGAGACAGGAATTTTATTTACACACACACACACATATGTATTTACTATAAGTATGTGTTTATGTGTGTGTGTATTTACTAGTATGCTTTATTAGATAATTATACATAGAATTGTAACTTTTACTGTTGCAATGACATACTATGTATTTTTTATTGAATTTTTTTCACTTTTTAAGCATTTGTTATATTTTTTATAATGCATGTATTTTTGTGTTTTGTTCCTTTTGTGTTTTTCTTTTTCTGTTATTTTTTTTAAAAAAACACTTAGCCTCTTCCAGAAATCTAACACTATTAGGGAATGCCAATATGGAGTACAGTATAATAATAGCTAATTGTTATGAATACCACACAAGTTTAAAAAGCTTCTTTTAATCCTTAAGTTTCTCTAGGTTCCTAAGATTTTTGTCAACTCATAAAACATTCCCATGCCTGTTTTAATAGTTGCCATAAAAAAAAGGTGGGGGGAGGAAATCTGGAAGAGCAGTGCAGCAATTTGAAATTGAAAGTACATTCCAACACTTATCTTTAAGATTGTAACTAAACTACCAGAGCTTTTGCCCAAGAATATATTTAATTGGAGAATGTGATTGATGACAACCAGCCTGTGAAAATGCTTAATTGGAGAATCTGATTTATGAAACACCTGGGGGGAGGGGGGAAACAGGGTCACAGGTGACTGTACATTATGTATGTCAGAGTTGGCTTCATACAGGGCAATGGCAGTATGTCTCCTCTAATAAATCCTTTGAAGTTTTTTGAAGTTTGGCTCGAGAATCATGAATTAGGGTGATAATTGCTAGAATCCTGACAATTTTAAGGTGGGGAAACAAGTTCAGGGGTATTAATTAAATAATGCCAAAAGAGTTATCCTATTATGATCTGAGTCTCAACAGAAATTATCTGATCCTAGAATTCATCTAATACTATATGGAAAATATTATTTATAGGCAATCTCTGTAATACAAAATCTTGTTACCATCGTTTCCTTCTGATATATGATATGCTCAAGAGAAAGAATCCCAGATGCGTGACAGTCATCACTTTCTTCAGTGTTGTTGTAACTTTGAACATTCATTAAAGAAATGACTGTAAGTGAAGTACTACCTGTACTAAGAGCACTTGAAAAGGACGGGTCTATATTCTCTATCAAATCTGATAAATTTAATTTAGGAGGATTTTTTAAATAACTCCAAAGAAATCATTACTTAAAACTGCAACCAACACAAGCAAAGTCAGATTTGGTCTTCTAGATCTTATATAACATTCCCAAAAACTTTTTAAAAAGCAACCAAACGCTTGTCTTAGCTTTTTTCACCTACCCTTCTTATTAGGTCTTCAACATTGTCATGTGGGAAGGATCGGATGGCTGCGATAGTCCGGATCAAGCGCTCTGACAAAGAATATTTACTCTGGATGCTCTGCATAATATACCACATACTGGAGTTCAGTTTCCTTGGTTACTTTACATGCTCCAAGATGCCTGAAGAAGCAAACACAAAAGAAGAACTTTTTAAAAATATAATTTATAAAAAAAAACCTATTGTAGAATTCCCATCAAGATATATGTTAATAGCATTAAAAATAACATCAGATTGTTGCATCCATTAACCTTTGATGGTGAGGAAAAATTAATCAAGAACAACCTGAGGTTTAGGAGGTGGCTCAAATTTATCTGTACACTACATGTATAACTAAAACATATCTTCCAAATTAATCAATTCAGATAATAAATTGGTATTGACAGATATTACAGAACTATTAAGAGACATGATGTTCTATGCTTCATGCAAAATGGATTACTTGCACTGAAATCAAGAAATAAAGAGAACAAACTGATGTAAAACATTTTGAGAATAAAATCTGAAATATTATTAAAATAAGAACATTTTGGTAATTTGGTTGAATTATTTATTTTCACTATTTTTTTTTCTAGGCTACCAGGAATACAATTATCTCTGCCACGTTTCCAGTAGTCTTTCCTACAATGGATCATTCCTACAATGGTTCATTCCTGCAATGGATCATACCTACAATGGATGAAGTCTGAACCTTGAAGGTCCTTCTAGAGCTCTTAACACCAAATATACAAATGAAAATAACTAGATGTTGATGGCCTCACTTTAATAACCTACCTAACTGAACTAGTGAAAATGCTATGTAGGATCAGATTTCGTTATTACTAATCTCAGAGCTGCCTAGGTACATAGGTAAGCAGGCAGACAGACAGATTCCATAGGAGACTGACAAGAAACCTCAGATGTAGATTGAGAAAATAAATAAATCCCAGTAGATAACACTGGAAAACTATTTCCAAACTGTTGCTAAGAAAGGTCTATAAGGACACCAGGAGATGAACTAAACTCAACAGAGACTTGGTTAGATTACTGAATTGGGATTATCCTTAGAGACCATTCTGAAACACCAATTAGTATAAAACACAGCCATAGAAGGATAACTGTTTGTATTATACCCTTTGGCATGACCTTTACAGGCTACCAACTCATTTCCAGTCTCAATTCAAGGTCCTCAAACTAACCTATAAAAGTCTTCCCAAGTTTGGGACCACGGTCTGAACCTTTTCACATACATTCCTATCAGCAACTTAAGAGTTTATTTTTGAAGGCCCTACTGTACTTGCCTTCTTAGGCTAACATCTGACAACTGGTTGCCTGGCAGTGGATCTTCTCAGTGGTAAGAATATCTTCCCCATCATAGTGAAGCAAATCTGGTTCTAACTTTAGAACCTTTCTAACATGAAGCAAAGTTATTTTACTTCCCCAAGCCTTGTAATATATTAATATGTTTATACCACATACAATATTTTAAATGCATGCTTACTGTCTATGTTTTCATTGTTAATATAGTCGATTTTAATTACTACTATAAGCTAATATGTGTATTTTTTTACGTTTGTAAATATGGAAAAACTCTGTTTTGAAGGCTAATAGGACAGGACATCATTATGAAATATCAAATTTGTAAACTAGGCAACAAGGTTGCAAAGCATCCCCAAAAAGGTGCTGACAAACCATAACTCTTCTGTATCAAAATACCATGTTTGTATTCATATAATCACCAGGAATCAACAGGTGTTTAAGCTTTTTAAAACAAAATGTTACAATAAATGAATTGGATTAAAATTTCTAGAATTTTTAGCCAGCATGATCAACAGATCTGGAAAAGGTTGATTTAGATTATTTGTCGAAGAAGTCAAAGATATCTCACATGTTTTACTGTACTGTGAGTTATACAGAGTTTATAGGTCAGTGTATACAATTGTGCTCGTAAGTTTACATACCCTGGCAGACTTTATGATTACTTTGCCATTTTTCGGAGAATATGAATGATAACACAAAAACTTTTCTTTCACTCATGGTTAGTGTATGGCTGAAGTCATTTATTATCAATCAACTGTGTTTACTCTTTTTAAATCATAATGACAACAGAAATTACCCAAATGACCCCGATCAAAAGTTTACATACCCTGATGGTTTTGGCCTGATAACATGCACACAAGTTGGCACAAAGAGGTTTGAATGGCTATTAAAGGTAACCATCCTCACCTGTGATCTGCTTGCTTGTGATTAGTGTGTGTGTATAAAAGGTCGATGAGTTCCTGGACTTCTGACAGACCTTTGCATCTTTCATCCAGTGCTGCACTGATGTTTCTGGCTTCTGAGTCATGGGGAAAACAAAAGAATTGTCAAAGGATCTGTGGGAAAAGGTAGTTGAACTGTATAAAACAGGAAAGGGGTATAAAAAGATATCCAAGGAATTGAGAATGCCAATCAGCTGTGTTCAAACACTAATCAGGAACTGGAAAATGAGGGGTTCTGTTGAAACCAAACCATGGTCAGGTAGGCCAACTAAAATTTCAGCCACAAAATTAAAATTTCTAAAATTTCTCTGCCAGGAGAATTGTTCAGGATGCAAAGAAAAACCCACAAATAACTTCAGGTGAAATACAGGACTCTCTGAAAACATGTGGTGCAGCTATTTCAAGATGCACAATAAGGAGGGGCTTGAAGAAAGATGGGCTGCATGGTCAAGTCGCCAGAAGAAAGCCATTACTATGCAAATGCCACAATGTATCGCGCTTACAATACATCAAACAGTACAGAGACAAGCCTCAAACCTTCTGGCAAAAAGTCATTTGGAGTGATGAGACCAAAATTGAGCTTTTTGGCCACAACCATAAATGCTACAGTTGGAGAGGAGTCAACAAGGCCTATGATGAAAAGTACACCATTCCTACTGTGGAACATGGAGATGGATCGCTGATGTTTTGGGGATGTGTGAGCTACAAAGGCACAGGAAATTTGGTCAGAACTGATGGCAAGATGAATGCTGTATGTTATCAACAGATACTGGAGGAAAACTTGCATTCATCAGCCTGGAAGCTGCGCATGGGATGTGCTTGGACATTCCAACATGACAATGATCCTAAACACAAGGCCAAGTCGACCTGTCCATTGGCTACAGCAGAATAAATGAAGGTTCTGAAATGGGCATCTCAGTCTGCTGACCTCAATATCATTGAGCCACTCTGGGGAGATCTCAAACCTGCAGTTCATGCAAGACAGCCCAAGAATTTACAAGAACTGGAGGCTTTCTGCCAGGAAGAATGGGCAGCTTTACCATCTGAGAAGATAAAGAGCCTCATCCACACACACCACTAAAGACTTCAAGCTGTCATTTGTTGTAATGACAAGGCAGTCGAGTTGTTTGATCATGAACAACTGAATCATGATGATCTTTATTGGAGTCTAGTCTTGCATTTATACACATTTTTAGTTATCTTCCATCACTGGTTAACTTTGGTTACTGTTTAACTTTCGTTACTGTTTAGCACAGTAATCCATACAATTAATTATCTCTAGTTAAAGTCTAACATATGTTTACTTCCTCTCTCTAATCCTCCTTTAGATTAGTGCCTTTGTTTACCTGAGTTGTATTTGCTTGGAAACATTCTTTATCTGAGGTTTGCCATCCGAGATAGGAACATTCCTGCAATTACAACTCTACAGTCATTGATGTTAAAGGGGGCAATACACCCTATTAAGGTCTGGGGTATGTAAACTTTGATCAGGGTCATTTGGGTAATTTCTGTTGTCATTATGATTTAAAAAGAATAAACACAGTTGATTGATAATAAATGGCTTCAGCCAACCACTAACCGTGAGTGAAAGAAAAGTATTTGTGTTATCATTTATATTCTCTGAAAAATGGCAAAGTAATCATAAAGTCTGCCAGGGTATGTAAACTTATGAGCACAACTGTATTCTCCCCTTATTAGAGAGATTGCCAGGGAGGGCAGACAATTTTTATGTAGGCTTTCTCCTCCAACTCAAACCCAGCTATTATGTGTACAGTGGCAAAATTCTGTGTTGCTGCAATGTCTACAAGAAAAACATTGGTTACAGAATTATAGCTGTCAATTTGTTCCAATTTTTGGAGGTATAACAATCTTTGGAAAAATGATATTTACACACATACTTATTGGCTTTCCACTCATATAAACCAGGGAGTAACCCTAACTGTTTGAGAACATGTATTTTCTTAACAGGGATATTATCCACTATTAATGTACTATAATGTGTCAGTACTATTTCTTTTATATATTGTAAATAGTCAAGTCTATTGCTGGTCTAAGACTGTAATAAAGTTACATTCTATTCAATTCTATTCTATTCCATTTGTTCCTCCTAAAAACTGTGGTGTTTCACTGGAGACTATTTATATTCTATGATTGACATTGGTTTCATAAACACTTACATTTCAAAGTTCTTGTATTTATTCATAATTTTGGAATTTGGACTCAAGCACATCACTTAAAATGCAAGTGTCCTTGGTTGCAGAATTACTACTTTGACCACATTTTAAAGCATACTGTTTCTGATTCCATTCTTGTTTTTAAATTTCAAATTTTAAAGACTTAGAAAAACGTTATTGTTACCTTGAATGTACATTAATCAGCATACATTAAAATGAAGTTTCGTTGCATATAGGTCTCAAAGAATCACCGCCTCCAATTTACATATATAACCATGACATAATGAATCAAAAATTATGCATATACTCATATATATTACAGAAAACTCCTAATAATAAAGCATGCAAATAAACAATTTAATTCTTCTATTTGAAGACTTGAACAAATTATGTTCACAATTTGACAGTTTGTATGTAAACAATCCCTGAGGCTATGTAATCATTGTAATGCAGTTATCACGCTTTTTTTATGCTGAAAGAAAGGTGAAACATTTGATAGCACCAGACCATTTTTAAATTCAGTCTGATGCTGCCACTGAGGTCATTGCAACAACCTTGAAAAAAACATTTCATTTTTATGCTGCAACAAACCATACAAAGAATGAAATAACAAAGCTAATACAATATGATAAACAAGACATGGGGAGGGAAAGAGTATTAATGCATATGTCTGGTAAACACAGTCAGGAGATTGTGACTGCTTCCAGTTAGGAATGAGCTGAAACAGAACTTGCTTCATTGCAAGACAACCATTAGCAAGCCCATGAGAAATTAATAAACAAAAAGAAATCTGGACTGTCTCCAGGATGGCTGAGTGTTCCTACATGCATCAACAAAATGGCTCCAAGGTACACTAAGGAAAAATATTTCTTCTGCCTCAATATACACAGTTGCCCTTTTCTGTCACACAGCTGTGCCGATCACAAGTTGCTACATATCAACCTGCATCTCTGCTAAAATCACTGTACTTTTGCATTTTAGCTGATCTATCAGAATCAGCCCACCTCCCAAAAATAAAAGCAGAACACTTTTTAAAAGCCAAGTAGGACTTTCTGAAAAAAATTGTAGCCTTCAGTGTTTGAATACAACATCTAACATTCCAAGCCACGTGGCCAGTAAGCAAACATTTCAGTTAACTTCTAATTTAAGAAAGCTTTTTGGAACATGTTGTGTCTTACCTCCAAGTGTCAATTAACTTTCTAGGTGCAGTTTGTTTTAATACCATCCTTTTGTGAAATAACACAGGAAATTCTCATTTAAGAAGTACTGTACCTTAGTAGCCTTCTGTGACAGACAAAACAAATTGGTGGGAAAAGAGTTGGGATAGTCATTTTTTCCACTAAGTCTAGTTCTGAAACAAGCTAGCAGCACCTAGCAAATAAACTTACCAGCATCACACCTGTCTATTATTTGGATGGGAGACCACAAGGAAATCCCAGGGCTATAGGCTTGATTAAAAAGTGTGTGTGGGTGGGAACATACCAGAAAACCGTCATAACTAATCAAAATTCTCAGAGCAGCTTTTCAGAGTAATAATTTTAATATAGTGGGGATTAACTTTTGCTTGTTCTAAACAAAGCTGATAAGATAGTTTAGGAATTTTCTTGGAAAAGATACAGCGTAACTTTTGGCTGCAGTCTCTGCAATATACAGGCTGTACAATTCTTTCAGTCTTCTCAAAATGTCACATTGTGGGCACTTGGTTAGAAAAAGGATGTCCGTTTGTATGTATGTTAACTTCCTAAATTTTATGGATTTCCACTTCATCCAAAATTGGTTGACACAAGAGTCACAGGAGAGTGCTGTTAGTCTACTATGGTAATCCAGAAGCCAGTCTCTTGTAACACCTTAGCATATCTTCAGACTAACAAAATGCATTAGCGTGTGTTATATATGTGGATGGGTAGATATATACTTTTGAGAGCGGGCAACATAATTTCATTTTTAATGTGGGCCGGTGTACTTACAGTAAAAAAAATGACATTAAAGCTTATTTTACAATGCTTTAGTCTGAAAGGGCACTTTATCAGACTCCTGATTCCTGCTTACCACAGAATAACAGGTTTTTCCCCCTCCACCTAGTGTTACTGCTAAAGAAAACAACGGAGCACAGCCTTTTTACATTTTACAGAGGGAATGAACTCCTTCCTTGTACACACAATACATATAGGGAGCAGCGGTCATTTTGCCCAAGGACGGGAGTCTCTCTTGCTTCTCAAACAGCTGCTTGCGTGTGTGTGTGTGTGTGTGTGTGTGTGTATTACCGACACAGAGGACAAGCATCCAAATTACAGCTAAATGTTTATTTTTAATGCCACCGTTTGGATCAAAGGAGACAAGAAATAACATTACGCGTTCGGAGAAAAACAAAATCGTGACCAAGAGGAATCCTCCCAACCGGAGGGAGACATGACAGCCTACTCCCTACCAGATTGGCTGGAGATCAAAAACATCATCTGTAATCCAGCTCATGTGGCTGGAGCACCGCCGGGAGTTATCCCCCCCACACACACACACAATCGCCGCAAATAGACGGACCCCCGCTCTCCCTTCGCCCCTCCACACGGTCGCCCTCACCTATCGCCCGGGAGGCTTCCTTCCGTCGAGCAAATGACCCCTGGAGGGCGCAACCACAGCCCCGGCCACCACGTCACTCCCCGCCGCATTCCCCGACTTGGCGCCGACGTGACCGCGCGCCCTCGCCTGCTCGGAAGTTGGACCCTCAGCGACCGGAAATCATGGACAATGGACAGCTAGAGCGACCGACTTCCCGAAACCCCCGACACGCGCCTACAAGTTGTCGCGCCGATCTTCCCTCCCCTCCCGACTCCACTCCCCCAGTCTAGCAAAAGCCGTCCCTTTTCACAAATGTCTTCCAATCATTTCAGCGAATGGCACACAAGCCCCGCCCTTCGTTGCTCCGCCTTCCAATCCTCCTTTGAGAGTGCCAAGTGTCTTAATTCGCGGGGAAGTTCGAGGTGGTTTTTCGCTGCTGTTGTGGCGGCAACCAAGCGCGAGATGGGTCTGCCTGGAACAGGGTTCTTAATTTTTTTTTCCTCTTCCCCTTTTGGAAAATTATGGAGCACTACACAAAAAAAAACACCCACATTTTTGTTTGCATGCGTTATGTGGAAGGTTTGCATGTGCTATATTGATATTTACTATAATAAAATTTAAAATCGATGCGTTTGGGGTCCCTGCTTCTTCTGAAAAATTGTTTAATCGGAATTTAATGTTACATTGTTTTTCGACATATGCTGGCACATAATGTTGATTTCAAGGGCCTGTGAGTGTTGGAGAACCCTTAGGGATTCTCGGACGTTTTAAGAAACACGCTTTTAGAAGTGGCATTGGATTCAGCGGAACTCTTTTCTGCCTTAGTTTTTAGAGTCAGGCTGGTTTAGCCCAGTCATTTGGTTCTGCCTCTGTGCCCAACTCTAACCATCCATCCATCCATCTTGCAACAACCCAAATGATTTAGTTTCTCAACTAGTTTATGACTTAGCTAAGTTGCAACTTCTAGACAATAGTTAACCGGATACTTTTCCCCCTCCATGATGCTTCAACAAGAGGTAGTGAAACGTATTTCAGATTAGAGCCCCCTTTTTTTGCACAGGTGACAATATCTAGGATTTTGAAAATATGTGCATCTCACAAGATAAAGGTTACCCATTTGCAAACAGTTGTCACCGTTACATACCTGGTATCAACTCTCATAATGAGTCTAGCTAAAGACATATTTTTCTTGCTTCATTTCTTAGTTGCCATACTTGGCGGGGTGGGGGGGTGTTATGGAATGTAGAATGTTTTCCTCCAATGTGCTAGACATAGCAAGGATAAGGCTCCTGAGAACCAAGGCCAGATCAGTGCCATAGCAATGGCAGGAAGGAATGCTGAGAAGTTCATCATCTGCTTGGTTGGCCAATGTGACCTGTGACATGAGTGGGTGGCCAGTATCTATTCTTTAACTACATCAAAAACATGAGAACTATTCAGTGTTGGTTTCATCTTTGACCGCATATGCGGCTCATGCAGATATGATATACCCAATAAACTGGATTTTTGAGGAAGCCAAGGCCTCAATCTTGAATTGGTTGGGAACATTACTCGGAACCATGACACCTGGTTCAGCAGAATGGAGAATACTGTGGGAACTATGATTCTTTGTTCTTTGTGTACGTGCTAGGACAACGGAACCTTCTGGTAGTTGGCTGGAACAGAAGCAAGGAGCAAAGACAAATTGTTGCCATTTCTAACCAGAACAGTAGCAAACTTAAACTCTGCAGCCTTGTATGCTTTGTGCAAATGATCAGTGCATGTTGTGTGATGTAATGCATTTGTGATAGGACGTTAACAAAATTGCTACGTTAACAAAGATTGCTTCTAATAAAAGAGGGTTTTGGAGTTCTCTCTGCGCTCTCATCCCAAGACAACTTTGCGAAGTGTCTTCTTTTCATGAGAGACCACCACAGAATACAGTAATAGCATCATCTCTAGATTCCACCAACATGTCATCCATATTTCCCCATCTTTTATGTGTTTTTGTTTTGGAGAGGGAGGTGAGTACACTTTGAATTAAACCATTTGATTACTTCAGTATGTTTTTCAAAATCAGACAATATTGGATTCTAGCTCCAGTTTCTTAATTTACTATGTGTAGTAGAAGTGGCAGAGCCCTGGAGTGGAGTTAAAAGAGGGATTAGCATAGACTCCCTACATGACCCCAAGTGGATTACATCAAGCCCCCACACCCCTGAATTCTGTGTGGACGTGGACCTGCTCTTTCGTACCTGACATTTTTTTAATACCAAAAATCAAGGAAGGTGGAGATTCTGATATCCACCAAGAAAAATATCCATGGGCACAGTAGTGCTCTAGACTGAGATCACAAGCATGTTCTATAAACTACACAAATGCATTATTACTTTTGAGGGTGGGAATCCAAGAATGTAATAACACCCTCCCCAAATTTTCTTATTCACACAAGGCATTCAATGATGATATAAACACCTCTATAAAGGAAAAGAATAGGGACTAAAGGTTTAGTTTTTTGTGTGTAAACAAAGCCATTACGGCTTGCTCAATAAACCATTGGGGGGGGGGGCGGGATCCTAGTTTTAGCATTGTTTAATTGCTCCATTTCTTTCAGTTCATATCTAATAGAATGGCTGCAAATTGAAAAATTGATGGAAAATCTTAACACTGCCATAGAAGATGAATGGGGAAAGGAATAGTGTTATTGAGTTTTTCCTTTTTACTTGTAAGCAGTAAATTTGCCTATCTTCTTAGGTTGAAAAGTCCCGAAACACCTTAAAAACTGGTCAATTTATTATAATGTAAGATTTCATACATTTCAGCCCATTTCATTGCATGCAGAGAGAGGGAGCTGTTGTTTGTTGAAACAAGAAACAGAAAAAGAGAACAGAAAGTGACAAGATTTATTGACAGTATAAAAATTGTAGATTAGATTCTGTAGTTTAGAAATTTATAATGTGTTGTAATGACAAGGCAGTCGAGTTGTTTGATCATGAACAACTGAATCATGATGAACTTTATTGGAGTCTAGTCTTGCATTTATACACATTTTTAATTATCCTCCATCATTGGTTAACTTTTGTTACTGCTTAACTTTCATTACTGTTTAGCACAGTAATCCATACAATTAATTATCTCTAGTTAAAGTCTAACATATGTTTACTTCCTCTCTAATCCTCCTTTAGATTAGTGACTTTGTTTACCTGAGTTGTATTTGCTTGGAAACATTCTTTATCTGAGGTTTGCCATCCGATTTTGGAACATTCTTGCAATTACAACTCTACAATAATGGATTAAAAAACCTCAACTTTTTCTTTTTAATTTCTTTTGCCATTCATTCTCATTCAGGTAACCAACTATTAAGTAGCAAGAAGTGCCATCTTTTTATTCCTCTTCTGACAGTTAGCAACTCTTAGCACTGTGAAATCCTTGGTGCTCTTTGAGCTTGGCTGTTTGCAAATAATTAACCAATTAGGTAACAACATCACTGTCTTAGAACTCTAACCTGCAAGCAATATTTATGTCATAAGAACACTAGCAGCTTAGATTTCATGAAAATTAATTAAAACAAATGAATAGGATGCTAAATAAGAGAGAGCAGCTCAAATCACTATGAGACAGAAATATTACATCCTACAACTCAGAACAGCAGCTTACAAATGATTTATATCTGACTGAAGCAGGCTGTCCCAATCTGGTGAAAATATACTTCAGGTGTTGGACACCCATCATCCATAATCAGCATAGCTTAAGATTGATATAATGGAAACGAAAACTGCAGTTATAATAATGTTTAGAACAGAACAGTCCTGCTTGATCAAACAAAAGATCCATTTTGTCCCACCTAACATTAATTCCAATGACGGGCTGGATACTTTTCATGAGGTGTATAATCACCCTGAAAGATCTTAGCTCCTCACATTTATTTCCCAGCAGTTGACATGAACTGGGACATGGCTCTGATTGTGAAAATTTAATTTAGACAGGATATTCGTGGCAGGCAAATTTAGGCCATGGTCATCAAAATTGGTATGATCCATGTAGATTAAAAAACAGCAGGTGGATAATAGAGATAGAAATTAGGAACTAGAAAAGTACTATTATGTAAGCAAATTGATCCAGACAATAGCTGTTCACAAAGCACTTATGTATGTAAAATGTATAAATAAACTGTTTAAAAAAACCCAGGAGGATTACAGATGTGCTGTTCATGAAATACAATACAGGTAGCGTTAGACTTACAATCACAATTGAGCCCAACATTTCTGTTGCTGTGAGAAATTTAAGTGAATTTTGCCCCATTTTATGACCTTGTTTGACCCAGATGTTAAGTGAATCACTGCAGTTGTTAAATTAGTAACACAGTTGTTCAGTGAATCTGGTTTCCCCATTGACTGCTTATCAGAAAACTGCAAAAGGTGATCACATGACTCAGAGACACTGCAACCATCATAAATGTAAGCATCCAGATGTAAATCACGTGACCATGGCATGCCGCAATGGTCATAATTGTGAAAAATGGTCAGTCACTTTTTCAATGTTGTTGTAACTTCGAATGGTCATTAAGCGAACTGTTGTAAGCCAATGACTACCTGTATGTTTCTAAGTTAACTGCAGTGATTCACTTAAGAACTGTGGCAAAAAAGGTCATAAAATGAGGCAAAACTCACTTAACAACTATCTTGCTTAGCAAGGAAATTTTGGGCTCAATTGTGGTCGCAAGTCAAGGACTATTGTACCTGTAATGTATGCAAAACTTTGAAGGTCCAAATTTTCCACTGCTTTGGGAAATTGTATCACGTTTCTACTCCAGTGGCCAGACTAGCTGGGCAAGTGCTGGAATGGAATTTTACCCATCTGGAGCAGGTCAATTAATGCCCTAAGCACAGTCCAATAAGAGTCCCTGGCCCTTCCAGTGTTAAATGACAAAACATTTAAGTCTCAGCAAGTGCCAAAGGTGAAATAAAGAGATTAAAAACTTAGTTTTCTTCCAGGCCATCCCTCACTACAGTATATTGAATATAAACTTTTTAAAAAAATATTTTACATCAGATAACAATAAGAGCACATTATTTAATAAGTAGAATAAACTGCAAATTTTCAATACTTGTAAAGCATTGCTAATAAGATTGCTATAGACTAGTAAGATTGTTATTATAGGAGAAAATGCAATGAAAGAGTTAAGAGCATGATAGCTAGAGGAAAAAGCTGAGCACAATACTGCCCCTCCTTTCCCTTGATTCCCTAAGCAGATGCTTATTTGGGTTAAT